AAGATCCATCTACAGCCTATCATGGACCAGATTAAGCGCAAATATAAGGTCTTCCGGTCCCCTATCATACCACTATCGCAGTATCAATATCTCTTCGACGAGGCAAACCCGAACCATGTCAGACCCGACGTAGCAGATGCCCCGCCGCGTCCCTACGTACTTTCTCAGGATGCGGAAGGGGCGCCAGGTCTCCTCGAGACAGCGACGGGCAAGTTTTATTATAATCTCGACACGGTGACAATCGAGACGAGGCTCGCTCATGGTTACTATGTTAACCCATGGGTATTCTTAAAGGACGTAAAGTCTTTTGAGCGCGACGCAAAGAACCTCGGCGACAAGGCCCTCTGGCTTAAGGCTGACGAACTTGCTACTAACGTGAGCGTGGACGTCTCCGATATTAATGATAAACTCCAGAAGATCGATTGGGATGCAGAGTGGAAGAGAGAGCAATTCCGGAAGAGGGAGTCGAAGCGAATACAGAGAGCCCGCAAGAGAGAAGCGCTTGCCAACCAAACCGGTGGAAAATTTTTGCAGAACCCTCAACCGGTAGAGTTGCAAATGTCCCATACGACAACAGCCCATTTCCAAGTTATCGGCGAGGAGGCTATCACGAATGGGGGGGGCTCACTAAATTATGACAATACGAACGGAACATCCGCACCGTCTCGAGTTTTGGACGACGATGCTACCATGACTGATATTGATAGCCAGCCGCCGCCCGGTGGCCTAAACATGCCCATGCAGCCACCCTCTCAGTGGCCCCGTATGCCTGTTCAATCCTTGCACACATCCATACAAGCGACGACAGGGGGTACGAACCAGTTCTCTCAGATCTCGGCTGTACAGTCTCTTCCTCCGGGCGTATCGCCGTCAGCATTAATCAACGACGCGTCCACCACGAAGACATCAGATCCCTCCAACCGATCATCCAACTTTAGCACGCAGGCTACTAATGGGATCCATCACGAACAATTCAGCCCTGGTGACAACCTTCCGGATACCCAGCCGTGTCCCGGAAATAGCCAGGCTACGTCCAGCGACGAGCAGTGGCCTCACTCTCAGGCTCACGGCCTCTTGCGGGGATATATCCCCCAGCCCGGATCGTCCCACGGGTCTCGCGTACAAGCATCGCCTGCAGGTGGGAAATCATCACACGCCCCGAGTATGGCAAACTTATTAAATGACCCTCCCCTCGACGAACCATCGCAATCGCAATCACAATCGCAATCGCAGCGCCAGTCGGGCGTGTCATCGGCTTCGCAGCAGGTCGAGCTAGACGATTCCCAGGCCTATTACTTCTTGGAGAGACTCACCGAGCGCACATCGGGCTGCACCATCGAGCAGCTGCAGCAGATCTACCGCGAGATGATGGTGGAGCTCTGGAGGACGAGAGGCGAGAATAACCGCATGAAAGTGCTTAACTCGGTCACCCGGGTTTTTAACGAGGCTATTAATGAGATCGAGTCGAGTCAGGGGATGCTTCAACCAAGCCAATAGTTGTCAGGATCAACGATATCGGCTACTATCCTCACGACGGGGGGTTAGGAATTTCGTAGATATATCTGAAGGAGGTTGGCCAGCCTCCCTATGTAATTATAAAAATGCTACTAGAGGCGAGGAGCCTAAAGGGACCGCGTGGTAAGGTGGCGGAATATTGCATTGTCTGTAAGGCGATCTGGACGCAGGAAACGTTTATGGCTTACTGCTTATGAAGGCTTTGGCTCGCGCCTGAATTTTTTTATAATACGCCTAGTTCACGCCTTAGGTAGGACTGTCGCATTGGTGTACCTAAAATACGATCGTCTTTTTATCAAGTTGATGATAACTTACAACGTAACTGTCTTGTCGGTTACTTTCCGGTCTTACATCAGACTGTTTATGATGCGCTTTAGGTTTGGGTAGGCGTTAGAAAATGTTGAGCATGGTGGGTAGTATAAGGCAAAGTTAGTAGCTATCCTAACACAAGCCACGCGTAGCATACCTAAAACCTAGGGCGTGGCGGTTCTAAACAGCCACTCATTAATGAATCTCGTAGTGCTCTAACTTTAGTACTTCTTTAGTTTGAATTTAAAAACACATTTCACATCTAATTCATACACAGGCTGACAGGCTGACAGGATGATTTGTAGCCCCATCATCTTGACGACAAAACGATTACGTAGCAAGAATAAATATGTACTCTATTTATATACTCTATTGATGTTCTCCTAATGTGTATACTCTTGAAATTCCATATAACCCGGTTTCGCCTTATACCATATATACATAACTCATACACCACCACCCGCCAGTCTTGCTTACGACTGCAAAACCGTGCCTGGCTCTGGTAATGTCAAGTTCAAAAGGTACGCGTTAGCCGCGGCCGCTGTCGCGCCACCTGACAGGTAACTCGTGTGGCCAGCGCCGTTGCGCGTAAGCAGCACAGAGCGATCGCTCCCGATCTCGGCATGCAGGCCTAGTCCCCAAGCATAGCTCGTCGAGGGATCGAACGTGGACTGTAGCATCAGGATCTTCACGTCGCCTTTGTAGGATACGGGCTTCGGCGGGTTCGTCAAGGCAGCCGGCCACCCGATGCATGAAGTCTGGATCTTGTAGCTCTGGCATAGGCCCCCGGTTAGGGGATTGAAGATCGCGCCTAGAGTTGCTTTGGCCTGCACTTCGCTGAGAGAGGACGAGGCGTGCGTCCAGTCTTGGCAAGCGATTGCCGTGCCGGCGAGTAACGAAGAATCATCGTATGCGTCGCCTGTTACGAGGGGCTGCTGCTGCGAGATCAGCGTTGCGTTGCCGGCGTCGGCATCGGCGATGGCTTGGCCTAGGGAAGGCCACGATGACGGCGAGATCAGGTATGACTGGATGTTGAACCGTATATCCTCCTCCGTCACGTCAGAGCGGCAGACCTTGTCGTCGCAGCCAGGAGCCGGGATGGGAGATTTGGTCGCCTTGGCTACTATGCTTTCGAACTTAGCCCGGACATCTTGGCTGCTTAGCGGGCACACGTCCTTGGACGCATCGGCGCACCAAGCGAAGAAATTCTTGAGCGTGGCCTCGTACGTGGAGGCTTCGATGAGAAGGTTGCTAGACTCCGATTGAGAGTGCTGAAGGTTGCCGTCCAGCACTAAGGCGCGGATACCATCAGGGAATAACTCGGCATACTGGCTGAACAGCTGCGTGCCGTAGGATAGACCCAGGAAGTTGGCCTTCTCACCGCCCAGAGCCTTGCGCACGGCCTCGTGGTCCCGGACAGCGCTAATAGTGTCGACGAAATCGATCAAGCGGCCCGTTTTGGTACGACAGCTCTCGCCTAGGTTCTTGTTGTACGTGACGAGCGCGTCATACTCGTCCTGCGTCTTGGGGGCCCAAACAATGCGCTTATTGTACGCAGCTGTGTCGCACTGCACCGGAGTGCTGAGGCCGACTCCTCGAGGGTCCAGGCCGATCACGTCGAAGCGGTCCAGAATCTGCGGGTCCACGGCGCCTGGCACCGTGGAGAGTGTCGCGACAAGGCTGGTGGCCTGTCCTCCTGGACCGCCCGGGTTGATAAATAAGTTTCCTATCCGATTGCTCTTGTCGCGAGCCTCGATGCGGACCAGGCCTAGCTCTATCGTCTCATTGCCCTGCGGATGCTCCCAGTCTAACGGCACGGTGTAGGTCGCGCATGTGATGTTAGGGGGGAACGAATCTGGACATGGTCCCCACGAGATGCTATCCGTAGAATTGGATTTCACGCTCCTCTTGGGAATTGGCTTCGACCCGGTCAGTTTTAGCGTAGGTACTCCTGGAATGGTCACAGTGAGTGCCGAGCTCAAGGTCGCAAACGCGAGGAACGCCTGGGTAAGTACAAGTGAGTGCCCCATGGTGGTGTGTTTTCGTCTTAGACGGTCGGTACAAGTGTAAAAGAAAGAGACCTCATGCGAGAAGAGCAAGCTCGCTTGTATATGTATACCTCTCCCGTCTTACCTGCTTACACGAGCGACGTTAATTATTAGGCAATTACGTCTTACAGAGAGGCTTGGGATAAGCAAACTAGAGCAGCTTAAGACACGACTGCGAGGCGCGGCGTCCTGGCCAAGCTTTGTCCAGCTGCGACGTTTCCTTGTCGATCCTTACCGGGGACGAGGGCTACGAGCCGACCGCATGCAGCGATTGGGCAACGTTGTAATCGATAACACCTCAGACGGGTAGCTGAATGTTCGGTATGTAGAAGCAGAGGATGTTGCTAAGTTGCTATGCTACGGTATAATCTTATAAACCCTGCTACGTCTTCAACCCTAACAACACAGCCGCAATCCATAGCGGTACATCTATACATTCTTTCGCTTCCCCAGCCAAGTCCTACGATGCGAGCTGATGCTAATTTTACCATAGTCGAATTCCCCAGGCGCAGGTATTTAAAAGCAAGGCGTAACGATGTCGCCTCTTCAATCAACCTTAAGTAAACAGATTACTAATTATGGATGTGGTCTTTATATATGCGGATTTATATGGCTCCATAACCAGGGCTGTTCAGACAAGCTTTACGTGTCAGGGGTAAGTTGTTTTTAGTTATACCTACCAAGTCAACCGAGCATGAGAGAAACAAACCGACAATCAAGAGAAACGACAGGGATATGCCATTTACGGTTATAATCGGCCTAGACTTCCGATACCCACCTTTGAAAAGTTACAATATCGCCCATAGAAGGGACGTCTTAGACCTGATGTGTACCATCCAGTCTCCGAATTCCTTAACAAAGACAAGGCGTTGCGAGACTTATATATCTAAGTTGGTCAAGTAGCGCTCATCACAGATCGGAAATATAAAATTTCGAGTTAAGATGTTTATCAGATGCTTTGATCCCGTCTGTCATATTTTGGAATTACTATGTAAAGGAAAGCACCTCGGGGATAGACTCTCTAGCTCCATGCAAATTCCGGATCTTGCATGTTTATCAGAATATCTGCCCACCAAGTACACAGTGGCGGTTAATATCTTGAGTTTTTATATCTGAAAATACTCTGGGTACATGGGAGCTTGGGGAGTAATTGGATATCTAGCATGGATGAGATTGGTGGTGATAGATGAAGAGCGAGTCTTCTCCCTGAGGCTATTATGTACCTAGGTACCCAAGATATATTAGCCAAACAGCTACAGTCAACAAACATCTATCCAGAATTCCCATGAATCTGTTCTCTCAAATAATAAAACCGAAGACTGCGAGTTTGCCTTTACGTTCTTCCGAAACAACATGGCCACCCAGATTCGTGATACGCAGTTCGGTCACCTCGTACGATTTCTGTCTAGAAATAAAATCTTCCGATACCCTGACGAAGTTGACCCTTCCCTATGGAAAAGGCCTCTGCAAGGCGATACAGGTCCATTACCTATACCGCCAGCAGAACAAGCCAATGATACACAGAGGTCTGACAGGCGGAATCCCGGCACAGCTCCTGTCGGTGAAAACGATCGAGAATTCAATCTGATAAATTGGTATGGACCTGACGATCCAGAGGTATTTACTCCCATTAACTTCAACTCCCAAGAAGAAAAACTAGCTGTTCAAGCTAACACTTGGTCCAGAACCCTCAAAATTGGTCTAGCAACTGGAAGCTACTGGTCGCTTTCCTCATGTGCATTCTCAACTTCTCATTCTACATTGCAAGCTCGATATACGTCCCTATTCCTTTCATCTTCTATCGGGTGAGTTTACTCCAGCAACCTTTTCCCAAGCCACAAAGCTGATCATTAGGTAGTACGGTGAAAAGATTCGCCACATGAGCAAGAATGCTCGGCATGATATCTGAAGAGTGCTTTTAGCATGCCTTAGAAACTCCGAGTCTAGTCCCTAGTGTAATAGTTGGAATAGTTCAAATAATTCCTAGAAAAGAGGATAGGAAGGTTGATAACATCTTTGATAAATGATGTGGAATTTCAAGGCTGGGGGATGACCGTACGTTGGTAGTAGTATAGCGATTCAAGCTGTAACGTAGGTACATTACTGGTAGGTGGGTACTATTAGTTTGAATTTGTTCAATGGAATATCAACCGTATGTAGATCTCGTGGTCTTGGACGTAAGAAAATGGTGGTATCTAGAAATAGGAGATCTTTTACCAGGGCTTGCCCCAAAGACAGAATTGAAACTTTTATATATTCGACTGGATTTTCCACTTTCATACTTCGAACAATAGGAAACTTGAATTTCGGTTAGTTAGAACAACATTGATTTAGCTTAAAAATTGTAGTTTCTTGACTAATACTCAATAATACTCTAGTTAAGGAGTAATTATATAGATTCGTCTTTCTTTCTCAAGTTAACAGTTTGACTTGAGAATTCATAAGCCTAGAGAACACATAAAACTGTATTATTTAATAGGCACAACTACAAAGTATCATAATTCCTAGGTACTCATCGAAAAGTATTGATTTAAGCTTTCACAAGTTCTAGTTAAATTTCCTCTTGTGATAATTTCGCTATATCAAGTTCCAAAGATCTTCAGTGACGTCGCTGAATATATCTAGCTCTCCGGGTTTTCACCGAGCCTTACTGTAAGACCGTAATCAAAGACGCCGCACTTAGCTCGGCATCTTAGTCTACGGGGTTAACTCGCTCGGTTTGTTTCTCTTACACCCAAACTCACATTTCGCCGCGGCTCGCATTCATAGAATCCTTCTAGTATACTACCAAGTTAGAAAATCCCCTTAGGAACCCGATCGGGTTCTTCCTCTCTTTCGTATAGACGTCGGCGTCAGCAATCCGGTAGTATACCGGTTCTAAGTAACGCAAGGCATTGTGGCGCTTCGGAAACCCTCTACCGGACGTTCATCAATTGTCGCTTACTCACTGTACATAGCCATACATGCATACCATTATGCTAGGAGGTATACCACGCCAATATGGAGAAGGGTGAAAGTCCCGCATCGTCTTCGGTATATAAAGAGGTTGAGATGGAAGCCATCATGGAAGAGATTTGCCCTCACCATCGGCATCACCAGTCAACTAAGCAAAGATACCAATAAGAACATCATAGCCTTTTCATCAGCTTCTAAGAATAATCTATAAAGAGTCTTAAGACTTGTTCTCGCTTCAATAAAAAACTTGAACTGTCCTTGATATCCGAACCTAAATCGAATATCAGTAACACTTACAACATGAGCAACGAAGTCCAGTCCATCGAGCAATTCGACTTTATCGTCGTCGGAGGTGAGTTTAATAGAATGAAAAGGGACATGAATCCTCAACTGACACTATCTATAGGAGGTACTGCCGGTTGCGCCGTCGCCGGCCGTCTAGCTGAATCTCCCAATGTCCGCGTCCTGGTCATCGAGGCCGGTATTAGCAACCCGAAGGACATCGACGCCATTACGACGCCGGCTCGGGCCTTCGAGCTGCGCGACAGCAAGTATGACTGGGCCTACAAGACAACCATGATCGACCGTCCCGACTACACACGTGTCGAGAAGCCTAACACGCGCGGTAAGACCCTTGGTGGTTCTAGTTGTCTCAACTATTACACTTGGATCCCCGGCTCGGCCGGAACCTTCGACGATTGGGCTCCCTACGGCGGAGACGAGTGGAAATGGGACAATATCCGGAAGTACCTTTATAAGCCGGCGACCTACCACGACGACAGGACCCTGTTTAGTGAGGAACTGAAGTACATCGGTACAGATGGCCCCATTCCCGTCTCCCATTCCGACCTGGTTCCTGAGATAAAGGGCTTCCGAGATGCCCTGACCAAGGCGTGGACCAGCAAAGGCGGAGAGCTGACAGACGACGTCCACAACGGTACCATGCGCGGTCTCTGGAAATGTACCAATAGCATTTACAATGGTAAGCGTTCCTCGAGCTGGCTTTACATCGAGGGCAAGACGAACGTCACCGTACTTTCCAGCACCAATTCCAAGCGCCTACTTATCGACGCCGCCACGAAGAAATGCGTCGGTGTCGATGTGATCCTGCCCTCAGGTGAGACGCACAGCTTCGAGGCCAAATACGAAACCATCGTCTCATCTGGTGTGTTTGAGAGCCCGAAGTTGCTTATGCTCAGCGGAATTGGCCCAAAGGCTGAACTGGCTAAGTTCAACATCGAGACAATCGTCGATTCGCCACATGTCGGCCAGAACCTCCTAGACCACCCTATCCTCCCGCACGTCTTCCGTATCGAGGACGGCAACGGGTTTGACCAGCACCTCCTCAGGGCCGGTCTCGAGCACGATGCGGCTGTCAGTTCTTACCGATGGAGGAACCAAGGCCCCTACACTTCCGGTCTACTCGAGCTAGTCGGCCTCCCGCGTATCGACGAGCGCTTGATGAAGTACCCCGAGTACGTAGCCGCCAAAGAAGCCAACGGGGGCCTCGACCCCTTTGGTCCCGCGGGCCAACCGCATTTCGAAATCGACTTCGTCCCCATGTTCAGCGACGCCTTCCAGTGGCACATCCCGACCCCGCCCAGAGGGGACTACATGACGGTCATCGTGGACCTGCTGCGCCCCCAGAGCCGTTCAGGTACGGTGGAGCTCAACAGCGCCGACCCGCTGGTGCAGCCCAAAATCAACCTGAACTTCTTCGCCGAAGACCTGGACGTCCTGGCGATGCGCGAGGGCGTCCGCTGGGTAGACGACGTGCTGATGAACGGCGAGGGCATGCGCGACATGATTCGCGAGGACTACCCGTGGCCGATGCCGCGGACCTCGGACGCGGCGATGGACAAGATGATCCTCGAGCGCTCGCAGACGGGCTTTCACCCCTGTGGAAGCACACGCATGGCACCTAGCATCGCCGAGGGCGTCGTCGATGGTAAGCTCAAGGTGTTTGGTGTTGAAAACCTGAGGGTCATCGATGCGTCTGTCATCCCGGTGATCCCAGATTGTCGTATCCAGAACTCGGTCTATGCGATTGCCGAAAAGGTATGTATTGCCGAGCGAACGCGCCTCTTCTTTGGGCTTGTAGCTAATCGAGCGGTTGTAGGGCGCTGATATGATCAAGGCCGAGCATCCAGAGTTATACGCTTAGGTCTTTTTCTCTAATGGATGGGACATGTCGCCTTTGAATAAGAGTATGGTGGATGAGAGTTAAGAAGTTGCTGGCTCAAGTTTGCGTTAACTATGATGAACCATGACTGATGCATAACAGCGAGTCTGGAGAGAGAGAGAGAGAGAGATGAAGGGAGGAGGATTCCACTTGGTGGATATTACTACTATCTTTTGATTTCAATACTTTGTAGTCGATACCTGTTTATTTTCATTCTTCTCTTCACTCGAATCTTTACTCTGTATGATCTTATTCTTCGTCTTACTTCCAGGATATCCTTTGATCCTTTGAGCCGTTGAAACATGAGATGAAAGGCGTGTCAATAGTGCCGCCCGGCTCCGTCAGATGTCGGCGTGATGCTTTAAGCGTTTGCAGCCGTGGTCTCTTTCCACACCCTTGAATTAGATTGACCCGTACCCACGCTGTTGGTAATACCGCCAACATGGTTCTGAGCCCCTATGTACATTGGACATATGTACATACATACATACCTACATACACAGATATCCACCAAGGGCCACTATCAATGATACGGGATTCTCTCGAGCCATGGAAGACGATCGGAATAATTGCCTTATGCAAAACGAAGTCTCCCCAAAGGTTACGTTTATCTACAATTTGATTGGTTCAATATCTTTTAAACCACTAAGCTAAAGGCGACCTTTGATAATAAGGCTACTCGGAGATGACCTCCTTCTTCACGTGCAATATGAAAACGGGTAGAAGGATGACCTAGCCAGCTGATAGTCTCTCAATCCGCGGTCTGTCTCATTATCGGTTCCCGGCTGAAGCCTTCAGACGGTAGCGATAATGAACCGGCAGAGCGAATCCAATGGTGTCATAACTGCCCTGATGGGATATGGGGATGATTTTATTCAACTCGATTTTCCCTTTGGTCTGTCCATTTCGTGCGGCGTTGGCGCTGGGCGGATCGAGCGTTACTGAATCCGGCCAGGCGTCAGCGCTTCGGTGAGGGCCGTCGACACCACATCATCCCATCGTATCGTGATCGACCACGCAGAATCACCCCACGTCCAGTACCTCTTGGACTTACACGACGAGAAGGCGGAAGGAAGGACAACGACTGTAGAGGAAATCAAGATGCTTATAATGTTGCCGTTAAGTCTGTCGTCTTGCTTCATGTTTCATCACAGCCTGCAACACAATCAAGCATATATTACATTCACACAACTTCATTCCGAGTTAAATCATCTATTCGGCTTCTGTACTGCATGTACCTTCATTACTCGCTACTAAGGACACCAATTCACCACAAAGCCCCTATCCACCCAATCAAAACCATGGCCATCGCACATCCACAAGGTCTTCGCCCGCATATGCACGCAGCCGCCAGAGCTGTCCCGCCTGCAGCACCCAAGCTCGGCCCTGTATCATCAAGGTAGGGATACCCCTGGCTTTGACCCAGAATCGCTGTGGATATACGCTAATATGCAGCATAGAATACTACCAAGCCTCGTAGTAATCGGAGTTGGTCCGTCTCACTCTACATACTTAACACAGCACTTGATGTGTTTTATTCGTTCCCCGTTTACTAACATTAACGAAACAGCTTACACGGTGGGTTCCTACGTCCGCTCGCAGCTACACCGCGAAGCCGGCACCATGGATCGCATCTTCTCCCAGCAGAACACGCCCGAGGTCGAGAAAGCGCGAAAGGCCGCCCTGCAGGTCGAGGCCAACGGGGATCCGCGAAACAACCTTTTCAATATTTTAGGCTGGTCGTGAAATCTGAGGGAATTGCGGGGGGGAAAAGAATTAACTGGAACATATGGGATAATATATGGGATCCTCTTCAAAAGGGAGACTAGAGTGGGACAGACACTCCGAGTCTCTTACTATTATTATTATACCCGCTTCGCATAGCTGGGGCGTTTGGGGAATCGGTTTGCTTGGAATCACATTATAATACGCCGGTGTCATTCGAGATCGAGATACCCGGTGTGCCTTGTATATGAAAATATCATATCTACACTACACTACACTACACTTTGCACAGAGCATAATTGAACTTTCATTTATATTTTATTAAAAATATATCTACGATGCCGTTTTCATCTCATGTAACTATGCGATGAAACACCGAGTAACACTCCGACCGTAATCTACTGAAACCTCTCGGGTTCCCGTTCCTTGCCACCGCTACCTCTGGGCTTGGCGGCCGTCGATTGGGGTACTGCATGTCCGCTCGCCGTAACCGCATTGTCGTCCGCGTTCTTGCCTACGCCGATAGGGTTACCAGCCGCGCTGTGTAGTGAGGCTCCGCCGATTCCGCCGGAAGCATCTTGTGATTTTTGGCTCGGATTGGGCACCGACGGGATTGTGTTCTGCTTTCCGGCATCTCCTGGAACTGTGGTTCGCCTTGTAAGTACACGGCTAGGGTAATCGAAGGGACATAATAGAAGAAAGCTGGCTCTTGATGCTGAAATATGAGGGTTTACTTACTACTAGTGCCGTCTTTGGCAATCTGGTTGAGATCTCCGCCTTTCTTGGACATTTTGCTTATTACGTTGGTGAGAATACGAGAATCGGGTATTGATGCGAACTAGAAAATGTACCTAACCTAACCGTAGGTAACCAGGTGTAAGTAAATTCTGGTAAATCGAGTCAATCCAAGTACGAGTAGAAGAATTGATATAGGCCGAGTTCTTCAGGAGAAACGAAAAATAAACACCTTGGTGTCGCTATCGTGATGTCACCATTATACCCCTTTCCCTCCTTTCTACGTCATGAAGCCAATTGCTCGAGGGATACAGTGATAATCAGCATGCACGGATCAGGACGCAAACGAGACTCCAATCAACAGATCGAGATTACTAAAAAAGCTATCAAGGCTGGTCTCGCTGTTTGTCTTATTAAGATGAGTGGCAAACAATTGTCACGATTTCACCACTACATGCCTTACGCATGATTAACTACGGATATACTGAATTCACAGAGGCCTTTAACTACCTATCTAATTATAACCTGGTGTTAGAGAGTAACACTTAAAGGGCTTTGAGCAAACCCTCATGTTTAACAACCCAAGGTCCATCCTTGGGAAATCCTGGAGCGTCACTTTCAGAACCTTCCCAACCTGCCACCATATATCCGATCGCGTAGAGAAAACTACCTCCTCTTGGCGCATACACCTTTTTCTACCAAGTCTAATTTTCAACTCGAGTTACCTCTAAGCCGTGCAACCAAAACTATGTCCTTTTCTTCGTCATATAAAGGATTAAGCGCCAACCTAGAAGCCCTCGTGGCTGTCAACTATCACCATCTGATAGAGTAAATAAAGAAAGGATCGGCTCTCATTATTTGTGCTGTCCACGCGTACCTCCAAATTGCACATCGTGCTCGAGGTCCCCGAAAACTCAACGCGTACACTCTTTGAAGTTATAAACATAAAACTTCACATGTTCTTAAATAAGACCGAAAACGTATGCAGGTGATGGCTGATCCGATGACAATGTACTAAAATAAAACCACCGAAAAGCAGATGTCTTTTATTGCAGTAACTGTAAATAGCTTAAAGCCGCCAAGGATCGTCGGGGTCGTAGTCGATTCATTGGCTCAGCCGCTCGCGTGTGCCTGGCCTTTGTAATCCAACTTCCTTTTTCTTCTTTGGTGGCCGCTCTCACATATTGACTTGCTGTATGTTGAAATGATCGACAACTCACTTTTGCAGCTCGGTGGTAGCTTGGATGGGCAACGTTGCTTCAAAAAGGGGCACATTTATGTACATATTTCAACATGGACGGACGACACGCGTGTTCGACTCCTCGAGTCGTGGCTTGTTGATTCATTCTTTATTCTCAACCGAGTGAAATTTGTATACGGAATTATCGGTATCCAAGATGACAAGATTATCCAAGATTGTTGCGGGGGCAGCACTCGCCCCTGTCGCGTCTTCTCTGAGCCTCAACCCAAACGACCAGGCCTCTATCAAGGAGAATGCAGCCCAGGTCGCAAAGGGCCTTTACGTATATCATGATCCTAGCTCGACGACAGGCCAGTTCAAACAACCGGAACCGTGGTTTTGGTGGTTGTCGGGCTCGGCGTGGAACGGCTTGATGGACTACACTGTATACACGGGCGACACAACCTACCAAGCCGATATCCTGTCCGCGCTGGCAAAGAACCTGGGCCCGAATTACGACTTCGTTCCGACCGAACAGGAGTCATGGGAGGCGAACGACGATCAGGTCTACTGGGTGTACAACGCTCTTACGGCGATGGAGTATAACTTCCAAGCTCTGCCATGTGAGAAGTCCAAGACCGAAGCAGACAAGGATTGCGCCAACTCTTGGCTCACAATCGGCACAAACGCCTTTGAGGACTTTGTGGCGCGGTGGAATAAAGACAGCGCAACCTGTGGAGGTGGTCTCAAATGGCAGTTCATCGAGACAGCCAACGGCTACTATTACAAAAACTCCGTGTCCAATGCTGGTTTCTTCCAGACTGCCGCCCGACTTGCGCGGTACACCGGAAACCAAACTTTTGGCGGCTGGGCCACCAAGGTCTGGGATTGGTCTACGAGTGTTGGCTTTGTCAGTCCCGATTTCCACGTTTTCGATGGCGCGGGCGACGATAAGGATGCGAACTGCACTGCGGTCAACAAGGATGAGTGGAGCTATAACATAGCCTCTTACATCCATGGCGCCGCCCACATGTACGCCTTCACCAACAGTTCGACGTGGGAATCAAGAGTGCAGGGTCTGGTTCGCACGGCGCAGAGTACCTTCTTTAGCCCTACGTCCAACGCTACTGGCGTGATGTATGAGCAGAAGTGCGAACTGGACTCGACGTGTAACATCGACCAGACTAGCTTCAAGGCCAGCCTGGCACGTTGGCTTGCAAAGACGGCAGTCTTGGTTCCTAGCTTGAAATCAGATATTGACGTACTGCTCGAGGCTACTGCTCAGGGTGCTGCTTCTAGCTGCACCGGCTACGGCAATGCTACCTGTGGTGTGCAATGGTACACTGGCGGCTTTGACGGCCAGTCGGACTTGGGTGTTGAGCTAAGTGCTCTCGAAGCCGTCCAGAGCCTACTGGCGGCGAGCGCACCGAAGTTTTCAGTTCAATCTTAGTGGTGTGTCTTGTATGCAGTCTTTGCAGCGCAAGTATCTTCTTGTATATAATCACCCGGCTTATGTATGGCATGGTATAAGCACGACATTGTATGTCACTGTATATAGGCATCATCTTGCGTAGCGGGATATGTAGTTTGTTTGTCATAGCTACCTACCTACCTAGGTACCTATGTAGGTTATACCCGACATGGAGAAGATAATCCATTTTAAATAGAGTTAGAAAGGGGGTAGGGCCTTGATCTCGGTGGCTATTTTATGAGATTAGAGAGTCACATACAAGAGTCTCGTAAACTGAGTAGAACTGTCTTAATGTCTAACAGCATTTAAGTGATTAGATTCATCTACACCGACGCTCGTATCATAATACCTACCTACCTACCTACCTACCTACCTACCAAGAGCACCTTCTATTCCAGACGTCTCACCTAGGTAGAGTCTTGATGTTTAATCAATAGTCCTTACGTACTATCAGAGGCATGTATAAATTGAACGTAGTAAAAGCTTTTCCTCGGTAACCTTGTCTGGCAACCTTTAGCTATAGGAATGCTAAGTCTGATTCTGCTTGCCGAGATATATCGATCAGGATTTTGCTCATTTCTTCTCTTAGCCCTACCTAATTAGCATGTTAATGAGTGTCTATATAGTAGCTTCTCACTACGAGTACGCATCAGGATTCGTCGAGGGGGTTCTCAACCACCGTTTTGTGGCTTGTCGAGATAGCCCTCTACTAGTGTAAGGGGTCTACAAGATTTCTAGATTTGTAAGCGTTCATCCCTAGGTTCACAGACCCTAGGTTGAGAGGTGTCCCCCTCTTGCGTGCAGGAATGGCGTCCACATACTTTGCATGAGTAACCTCCTCCGCTACATAGAATGCCTAGCGCCGGCGTAGCATTCCGGTCGAATGAATATCTTATCTAGATCTCTAGCGTTTACCATGCGCCAGTTAATGTATCGTGCAGAAGGCAAGGGATGGTTGACATCCAGCAGTTTCAGCCTCCACTTCGCGATTGTATGCCTACCTGTTAAACCCTCGGGGATACGACCTTAGAAAACCCCCCGATAACTCGGGTTAATCACAGATCCCGATTCCATGCCTCTGTTCCCGCTAGGTGCGGCCCGGCCCTTTGAGCATCTGTGAAACTTCTTCTAGAATAGGTAGATCGACACGGTTATTGCTACCAGATTGATCCAAGCCACATGCACATATGAGGTCTGCGGAAGCTATTGGTGTACCACAGCTGAGGATGAATATTGAAACGGATAGCCACATGGCGTGTAAAAGGCTCATGGTCACGATAGGCTGGTTCATACCATCGAGTTTTGAGAAGACTTTCCGTCATTCTCAACGTTACAATTTCGAACGTGTCTTCCGCTGTTGTCTCACAAGCCAACCTTCACTCTCAAACGCGTTATCGTCTGCGAGACCATTCTCAAGCCATGCGGAACCGTATCTCGATTGCCCACTGTCCCTTATCATTATTAGTCGAATATTGAGGTAGGTTGCCTAAGGGTGACGGTCTCACGGGTTCCTTGCCTTGTGGCTAGATATTGAAACGAAGCGAGGCGTTTTGACACCACCGTCTACTATTTTCTTTTTCGTGTATCTTGTTTCTTAAACCCGTTGCACAGAAATTTCCCTTTCAGCGCCGGTAACGCATGGTATCTTCCCACCGTTCTGTCTTACATACTAAGACATCACATTACACAATGCGATCCCGAGATCCAGTATGATTGCTGAGTACCGGAATTGTGGCTTGAGAGCTAGAAATTGAGATAATGTCGTGGAAAAGATGTAATCCTCGTTATGCCTGTGACGAGATCTGCTTCTTGATTGCCCTTTTGATTCGTGCGCCTTCCCGGTCTATGCCCTGCCTAGATGTTCTGGACTCCGTGCTCGATCGATGGGACCTTCCAGGCAGGCTCTAGGAGTCACTTACCCCTAGGTGTTTTTTGACGTTATTCCATTTCTTGTACTCCGATCCATCTCTATCGACGATCGGGTTCCTACTTATAGCCGCGTCTATCAGCACGAAATCCAGGGCTTGATACTCTCGCCAAGCTAAATTTTAAAATCATAGCCATCCAGCGTATGAGAAGGAGACCAACACTCACGATACCGAGCACTACCGGCTGTATTCACCATGATGGGGTCAGACGATAGCGTCAAGTTATCAAGCGATGATAAAGTCGCTATAGAGCATAAAGAGGAACTCCCGCCTCAATATACCGATGAAGAGTGTAATCGCCTAAAACGAAAAGTGGACAGGTACCTTCTCCCACTGTAAGTCTTATACAAAACCGCTCTTGACGAAATTGCTATCCTAATTCTGTTACAACAGCATGTGGCTTTGCCACGGACTCCAGCAAGTAGACAAGGCCTGCGTCGGTACCCAAGCTACATTTGGGTTACGCGAAGATACGGGCCTTGTTGGGCAGCAGTTTTCATGGTTGACAACGGTCTTCTATCTTACTTATATGTGTTTTGAGGTTCCGTCGATCATCCTGCTGCAGAGATACTCAATGGGCCGGATCTTGTCGATATACATAGTGTGCTGGGGATTTGTCGTGCTGAGTATTGGGTTTGCTCAGAATTTCGCTCATCTCGTCACTCTTCGAGCATTGCAAGGGGTTTTCGAATGCTCTATAAGTCCCGGGTTCCTTTTGATAATTGGGACCTGGTACACCACACGAGAACATCCTTCGCGCTCTTTAGTCTTCCAAAGCGGCTATTCCGGAGTGAGTATTATCACCGAATCTATAAATTATGGAATTGGTACCGTCACCTACAGGAACCCAAATTTTGAGGCGTGGAGGTATATGTCCTATGTAAGTTTTTCAATGCCAAAGCGGGCCGTAGGCTGATATTGTGACAGTTCCTCGGTAGCCTTACGATTATCGCGGGACTATCTTGTTTTGTCCTCCTCGGTACACCATCTGAAGTGCCCTGGTTGTCCGCAGAGGAAAAGAAGATAGCCACAGCTCGCATCCTATCCAATAACACCGGTCACGATACAACAGGTGCCAAGAATTGGAAGTGGGAACAAGTTAGAGAGTGTCTATTGGATCCAGTAGTATGTTCCTACAACTATCTCCTGGATGTTGCACTATTCGACTTTAGGAAGCTGACTCCTAAAACCAGTTCTGGATCTCTGGTGCAAATGCCTTCCTAGGATCAGTTCCAAACGGCGCCCTGACAGCGTTTTCGGGGATATTGACCACCAGCTATGGTTTTAGTAAGTATCCCCTGCGTTATATAACAGGTAACTACCTAGGTATAGTTATAACTTCCACTAACTTTAGTATAGCGAACCTACAAAATATTCTCTTAAACATTCCCAAAATGATTTTCTCGGCGCTGTTCTTCCTTGCGATAGGATTACTAGTTACGAGGAAGAAGAACCTCCGATTGTAAGAACTATGAGATCCTGATTTATAAATAATCTAATCGAATGCGCATCTAGATGGATCATGGCGCTCTCTCAGCTTCCGCCGGTTGTTGGTTTTCTCATCATCGCTCTTCTTCCCAACGAGCCGCAATACAAATGGACGAAATGGGGTGGACTTTTCATAACTTCAACTTTTATAGTATCCACGTTCTTTGCTTGGTCGTTAATCCCGTCAAACATAGCTGGGCGAACGAAGAGGACCGCCGTATCATCCATCACCTTCGTAGGATACTGCGTGGGAAATATGGTGGGCACGCAAATCTTCCAGGCCAAGGATGCGGTATGTCAACCTAGGACAAGATGGTGCACCTCATACTAACAACGTCTAGCCTAGATATATCCCAGGGACGATTGGCTGTGTAACGTGCTTAGGAATCCAGGTGCTACTGATCATTTTATGGAGAACCATCCTGGTTAAGCGCAACGGACGCAGAGACAGGCGGATGAGAGAGCTAGGAATGTCGGAAGAGGATAGGGTCAAGGCTGGCTTGGAAATGGGCGAACAAGACCATACCGACTTTGAGAACCCTTATGTAAGTCACAGGATATCCACGAGAATTCTTATTCGCTAATACGTTGTATAGTTCCGATATGTGATGTGAATATTCAGCGGTTCTACTGGGGATGTCAGCTTGGATTTGTGTCGCTCGAAAAGTTTAACTGGATGTGATGGCCGAGGTGTTATTTTTGAAGTTTAGGTACCTATGAAATTGATCATAATCCGGTTATAGCGTCTATTTTGAATGTTATACTATTATAAAGTTGTAAAATCGGCTCGTCGGTTAGTCGGCGGTAGAACATTAACCCCGAAATGGGGTTTAGGATGAAGTTCACGAATGAATTGGATCCAGCCTCTGAATTTGAGATTCTATAATTATCAACTTCCATCTTAGTAAATGCGGGCCTATACCAATTTACACTACCTTCTTACTCAAGTCCGTGCCGTCGAGTTGCATTCCTAGAAGTGAAGTGGCTTACTTATACCAATCTAAGTAAACTCTACTTCTCAATAAGTACCTAACCTAACATATGGTATAAGTAGAAAAAGTCGTGAATGTGACGCAACTAACACATCTTAGATGTTACTTTTTGTCAATAACCCCGTATGCTTGATCCCTGGTTCCCCGGTAATGCTTAGGTAGCCCTTAACCGAACAAGACCGGGGTTAGCGGCATGGGGGGCGGGCTACGGGGTCTACGGGTCTACATATGGGGTAACTAGCGCGATCCCTTTCCCTGACACCGCTATGTATACCTTAGGTACCTCCGTATCGATCGTTATAAGTCTCAATACCCTCCTCAACCGGGGTTTGTCTTGAACTTCGATGACAATTATCTCACATAGCTTTGTTTCGTGCTCATTTCGTACTTGCATTATACCCTACCTACCATTCACCTGTACAGAATATCTATATCCTGCGTATTAGTTGTACGGTCTTGTTTAGACACTACTTTTTGAGACTTAGACGGCACGGGTTGCCATTTCACCAGCTACAGCATCTTTTAATAACATGTCTGGACCGACGTCACGGTTGAGAAACCTACTCGGTCATCTAGGACCGACAGCCCCAAAGTCACCCGTCGGCGTTGACCATACCTATCACATCCACCAGCTGTCCCCAACATTTTTTCTGGAGAGGGCCGCTGCCATCGAACCCGACGCTCCCGCTATATATCATGTCACAGCTAACAACAAAGTCCTGAGGAGGCATTACAGCGAGTTCGCGGATCGCGCCAGGGGGTTGGCGTACTACCTTCGAAAACACGGTTATAAACGTGTCGGCGTACTGGCGACCAACACGCCTGCTTTCTTGGAATCGATATTCGGGATTGTAGCTGGTGGCGGGGTTATTGTCCCTGTGAATTATCGGTACGTGCTCCGGAAATTCATCTACCACCGCTGGAGCATACTTCGGATACTAACGATTTTGTAGCTTGAAACCCGATGATATCACCTATATTTTTGATTTTGCCCAAGTAGATTCCATCATCGTGGATAACGAATATCTATCGTTATTAGACGGCTTTAAGGAGAGCCATCCTGATGTGCCTTTCATCGTTGATCTGGTGAGTATATCGTCTGATTCATCCAGCTTATATCTAATGTTGGATATTGAATAAATTCATTAACAAATCAAGGATACCGATGCGACTGAGGGTGAACTCTGTGGACCATTCGACGAAGCGGTGCTGGAAGGGTTGAAATATGACCAGGCGCAGGGTGGCAAGGGATGGGCTGGTCTGCACGTCCAGGGCGTTCATGAAGATGACATGATCGCCATTCCATTCACATCGGGGACGACTTCGAGACCGAAAGGATGCGTCTACACACATCGAGGCGCATATCTTGCGACGCTAGCTAACGTCATCGAATCCGGATTGAATCCCGACAAGGGGCGGTGTAAATATCTATGGACACTACCGATGTAAGACTATCCTGGGATATGGCATTTTCTGTTGTTAACACTTCTAGGTTTCATGCTGTGGGTTGGACGTTCCCGTAAGTTCTCCAAACAACCGTCAGTCAACATTGAAGTTAAAGACTCATCCGTATTATAGGTGGGCAGTAACCGCAGCTCGGGGCACTCATTATTGCCTCAGGAGAGTTGACTATCCGTTAATATGGAAGCTTCTAAAGGAAGAAGGGATCACCAATTTCAGTGCAGCACCGACGGTGAATACTTTGCTCTGTACTTTTAATGAAGCAGCTCGGTTACCACAGCCTGTAAAAGTCACCGTAGCTGCAAGCCCTCCAACGCCACACCTTTTTAAGCAGATGGTATGAGACACGCCCGTCCATCTTGTGGATTTACTAATAGAACCATTCAGACTGGTCTAAATCTGCACCCACTCCACGTGTACGGCATGACGGAGACTTACGGCCCAATAACGAAGGGATACCACCTCCCACATTGGGACTCCCTGCCAGAGTCAGAGAGGTATGTTAAGATGGCTCGCCAGGGACACGGCTTCATAACCAGTCTTCCGATTCGCGTCATCAAGACCGATCAGCCGGAAGGTGTTCTCGTCGACGTCGCCAAGGACGGTAGGGAGATTGGCGAAATCGTTTTTTTCGGTAATATTTGCTGCAAGGGTTACTACAAGGACCCCGAAGCTACGAGGAAGCTCTTTGCTGGGGGCGCACTACATTCTGGTGATTTGGCTGTCTGGCATCCAGATGGAAGCGCGCAGATTCAAGACCGAGCTAAGGACATTATTATTAGCGGTACGCTTGCCTCCTCTTTCCTCCTAGAGATATGTTTTATCTGCATGTATAAATACTAACTTGCACATGTCAAGGCGGAGAGAATATTTCCTCGGTCGCGCTCGAGGCCATGCTAGTCCAGCATCCGGATGTCCTCGAAGCAGGCGTCGTTGCCGTACCAGATTCGCATTGGGGCGAGCGACCCAAGGCGTATCTAACAGTCCAAGAAGGAAAGACGCTAGAGCCTCAAGACATGATCACCTGGGCTCGCACTCAAAGCGCGATCAGCAAGTTTATGGTCCCGCGGGAAGTTGAGATAGTCGACGAACTACCTAAGACGAGCACCGGGAAGATTCAGAAAAACGTCCTGAGGCAGTGGGCAAAGACGGGGAGGAAATGATGGCATGTCGACAAGAGGGTACTTTGAAAGAGAACGAGTGTGGAGTTATTAGGCAGTCTGTATATCATAACGCAGTTAAACCCAAGAGGCGACCGGCGAGCATTTCGAAGTCACTCTACTGTAAAGAGAAATAAACCTAGATTCAGATAGTCTGCTATAAGACGAAGTCATCTGGGTTAGGTACACATACACACGATTGAAATTCCTCTTATGCGAGCGAAGACCCCTCTAACAAAGGGAGCCGAACTGATCTCCGACACGGGATGAATTCATATTTTTAACGTCGTAGGATTCATGCTGGCCCCTCTCGTCTCAGCCATGAGCGCCTCCGTCCCGCCCATGGTTGACCAAAAGGGAACTGGATCGTCCTGCCGAGTCTTGGATTTCGTACGTGGCAGTTGAGGGTACAAGGTTACTTGCTTTCGTACTTCTCCTGAAAAGCGCACGTTGAATGACAACGGACTTCTTCATATCTGATAGGTAGGTATGTTTCCCTGGATAGAAAAGGGGCCTTTCTTATCGGGCCAAGAGTTCTTACGTATGTGGCTAATGTGGATTGAAATCGGTGCCGTCTAGGTATACCGACGATACGTTGGAGGCTTCAGAAGTGGGCGAGTTGGAGGTAGTCATTCGGAAATTCAATCGAGCAACAATTGGTTTCTCCTATTTCTCGTTGGATATCATAGGTTATTATTAGTCTGTAAGGTACCTGCAGATAAATAGATACTACCAGTCCGATATTCCATCACCGTACAACTATCTCGTTAATTGCTTGAATGAGTCTTCTGGCAAGGAGAATACTTTATATGTCTGCATATCGTTCCCAAGCAGACAGATCCTCACAGGTACCTTGCCGCGCTCAGAACTAGCCTCCCTAATTTCCATCTGGGCCGGTATGAAGTTCGGTTCGCACGGCACGACAACGTTCATAAATGCGCTCGTAATTTGGTCGTTGCTGAGGACGTGTGGCGTTACCTTGTCTCCTGAGTAGTACGGCCGGTACCCCATGTCGTTGGACTTGTGTGGTATTCTGATGATCCGTAGTGGTTGGCCTGCTTGAATTAGCAATATTTTAATGTTGAATAGATGGGTTTAAATTACCTCTCTGCGCCCACAGCACGAGAAGATTATCGTCGTATAAAAATTTGAGATCGAGAACCTTTCCTTCGCCAAGGACTATGCACGAGACCTCCGTCGTGACAGAACCGCTAATCCCATTCAATACGCTCGTAGTCGTTCGGAATATGTATACTATTAGAGGAGAGTTAGTGCTAGGCTGTGAATAATTTTGCTGGTGATTCGTACCGCTGCCCTCGTCGCTTTCCGTTACGAGAGCTGTATATGTGGGTGCCTGAGGCATATCCTAAGAGAGGCCGTTAGTATTGAAAGAGAGAAGGCTCAGATGTAGACATACCGCATTAGCTATAGCAGACATTATGACATCAAATTTCACGATGCTACTATCTAGTTCGATAGCAGTTGGTTGGCCAAACCGCACGCTTCGCTTTTCCGCCTCGGCGATGCCTTCAAAGATAGCACTGGCCTTACTATCTAAATAGCCGCACAGGAATTCGACCTGGGCGAACGCATCTTCGTTGGGCTGCTTAGTGTCTAGTTTATTTAGCTGCTTATTAAGGAGCTCTAATAGAGAGCTTCCACCTTCAGCTTGCTGGCGACTTCTATCCGAACTTTCACCTGGGACGTTGCTGAGATGGTACCTCAAGGGGCTCACGGCCATATACTGTTGGATATAGGCTAGGACCTTTCCGTGCTCCATCATTGCCTCTTTCTCGGAAAGCTCCTCCACCGCTGAAGGAGCTGCTAGTCTGTCGATCTCGTGCCGGAGCCAGATTGAAAACGACTGGAATAGATCCAGCTCTTCCATGACGATGAGTAGAATCTTGTTTCCTACTAGCATAAGACAGGACACGATATCCATGCCTCTAGTAATCTGCGCGCTGGTAAATCCGGGCTCCTCCTTTGACTCGTGGAAGCGCGCGATGCCGAGTAAACGGCTGAGGATAATACCCACGCGCTCGAGCGCCGGAAGGAAGTTCTCATGAACTAGCTTGCGAAGCGCGTGGAGACCTGATAAAACAGCCTTATCCCACCGCTTATGACCCTAACCCATTATTTAGTCTCATCATTTCAACTAAGCCTGCGCATGGAAGCTTACGTACCCGCTCCGCCAACTGGTCGACCAGCCAATCCCAGACTTCTGGGAACGTATGGCCCGTTACCACAGTGTGGTATAAGGCCTGTACGATGCCCATCTCTCCGTATTTTCTAGATTCACGCAGCGTCTTGTTTATGCTGTTCAAAAACCGAGTTGGAAGCTCTCGGGTTGACTGCCATTCGTGTATCATATGTATCTGCACTTGTTTCACATATCTCAGTAGCTTTTGTAGTGTCGTGGTTTTTGAGGCCAGCAGAGACAAATTCTCAGGTGACGAGTGAACGAAAGTTAGGTCTATGGGTACGAGATAAGTGGTTGTCGTCTTGGCCTCCTCGGACGGCTTGAACATAAGCATGTGTGTCGACGAGTCAGGATGAGAGGCGTGATGGCATAACTGCAGGGCGACATTCTTCCCAAGAGGCTGTGGCAGAGCGTACTTAAACGTGCCAATGACGAAGGAATTATATATGCTGACGTGGATTTGCCCATCGTCGGTGCCAACAATCATGACATCGACGTTATCGCTGTCATGAGGAGAGAAGGGTTGAAACAGGAACTCTAGCGATGCTCTCGTGGTGAATACGAAGGAGTCATCCCTTAAGTGCTTGTTAGCAGGTAGTTGTTACGATGAATTTGACTGTGTTCCTTACCCTGAACCCCCCGATGCGGGTAAAGGGCTGAGCTTTGGTAGAGCGCTCTCGACCTCGAGAAATGTAAGCTCCCGTGGGAGGTCTACGGCGGTCTTCCTGCTGCTTGGGAAAAGATCGCGAGGTATTATATCCTCCCAGGATACGGTAGAAGATTCGGAGGCTGAGTTCTGACGCTTTCCTGCGTTGTTACGAGCCCAGCCGATGCAGGTGATTCGAGCCTTGCCGGCCTCGCATACCGGCATCTGGTGGACAGCCTTGTTCGTCTCCAAACCCATCAACCTCACTACTCCATCACTCCACCCTACCGCTAGAAATTGTCCTGATGCGTGTTAGTTTATGAGTTGCTATTCTAATCTGAAGGCGAAGGTAGCCTACCATCTGCTTTCCAACGGAGAGCCTCGACAGTGTCTCTCTTGCCACGTTGACTACTTTTAGTAACAGCTTGGCCATTTGACCGCCATATCTGGAGCGTTCTCGGCCCAGCCGCACCGGCGAAGAGTTCGATGGCCGGATTATCAGTGAGAAGGCCATTGTGCGGCTTAGGGTCGAGACGTAAGTCGTTACGCAGGGTGAGCTCAATTGGTTCAGTCATGGTTACTCCTAAGACTGGGTACTTAATTTGAGAGTATATGGAAGGGCTCTAATTATGGTGCAGCATTTTGTAAGCTGACATTGTTATTATTTAGAAAGACATCTGCTGATGCAGTTGTTTTCTTGTTATTGCAGCTGCGATCTTGCCAAGGTTAGTGAGTCCACAGTGCGTCGAAACGGTGCGGCTGCAACTAAAAACACTCCAAATTAAGTACTCGATACAGTGTATTTAATACCTATGTATATACTGTATAACGTAAATCACAAGTCAGTGGCCCACACAAGTCAGTGGCCCAGCCGAAATATAACCGAAAATCAACGTTTTTAAAAATTCGTAACTTTACGAATTTATAACTTAATATTTTAAAATTTTAATATGTTATATTTAACTATAAAACTAATTTATAAAAAAATGGAAAAAAATATAGCTTATTATAATAAAAGTTATTAAAGAAATCGGTGTTTTCGGACCCACTTTTATGTTTTTTATTTTTATTTAAATGAAAAAAATACTAGAAAAATTAAAAAAATTATTATATATATAAGATTTAAAAGGGTATTTAAATTTGAAATCCGATTTTTAATACGACTTTTTTTAAGTAAAATGCACGGCTATGCACAGACGTATTTTGTATGTATTTTCGCTGGGCCACTGACTTGTGATTTACGTTACTGTATACAATCCTGTAACTTTTTCCGAGCTCTTAGAATTTACAGCAGAGTTGGAACTATAGTTGATGGCATCATTCACAATCGATTAGCATGCTATATCTAGCCATTGCTCTATATAACATCCTGTCTCATCCCTCTCATCCCCCTTTGGTGGCCGTTGCTCCATGCTGAACTCATTACATCCTGCTCAAAAACCGTTACTCGACCAAATAGGACTCGGCCACCGACCTAATGTCTTTGGAGAAAGTTACTTCTTCGTTCTCATCCAGTAACGAAACTGACGTAACCTAAATAAATCGTTAGCACAATGAAAATGCTGGGTTGCGGGTGAGAGTATAGTACTTACATTAACATCGATGAACGGCGTCGTCTTGGAGAATCGTACTTGCATGGGGAAAAACTCGTTCTCGTCATCCGCCTGAGCATCAAATTCAAACGAGCCGTTGGGATTGTCGTCGCCGACGGTTCCGATAGTCCATTCGAGACTGTCGCCAGATACTTCGTAGGTGGCATCGAAGCTAGACACGGATGGTTCACTAGTAACGTACGGAATGACAACGGTAACATCCTTCAGGGTGTCACCTCCAGTAAGCTCATACTCGACCGTTATCGTGTAGTTTCCGGACGAGCCCTTGTTCACCCAGACGGTGAAACTGATGGGCAAAGCGCCGGTGTCGTCCGTCTTCGGCGTAGCTCGCCACCTTAACACACCAACAGAATTGTTGACAGGGAAACCACGTGCAGCGTTGCTCATCTGGATAGTCTTGGAGCTCGTAAATAGGCCACGATCGACGTTGGGATGTGTACGGAACTGGACACCATGAGAGGCGTTTGCTGTAAGGTTGAGCTTGATCTTGGTCAAGCTGGGATCCGAGATTCTTAAACTTAGATCGCCGGTAACGGCTAGGGAGTTTAGCGAACCTTCCCTCGATAGTTTGGCGCCGATAGACTCGTTGATAGTGACGTGGATCGCATCGCGGTCTAGGGTCGAAGACATTCGCGGAGCTGCGGGCTCGGCAGCGGGAGCGGGAGCGGGAGCGATGGGCACCAGGGGTGACTCGTCTACTTCGGCTCCCATGTCTCCTCGGACACGTTCAAACATGTCTGTAGTCTTGGACTTCTTACCCAACTGCATTCCTTTGCCCTTCATAACCGTTGTCCTAATTCCGTATTAGCCTGGCGTCTAACATATCTATGGTATTTCATACTTATGAGTCTTATTCTTCTCAGCTTCGTAGGTATCGTAGGTATCTGCAGGCGCGGGGCGCGTAGGTGGCGTATAAGTCGGATATACTGGGCTTCGTACAACAGGACGGCCCATCCTCGTAGTCTCCTTTCGTTGCAACTCCAGCTGTTTGGCCTTTCGTTTGCGCTCCTCGGTTGCTTCCAATTCCTTGTTCTGTACGGCTGTCAGCAGAGCAACAGAGAAACCTCATAGGCAGATAGCATACTCGCGCGATAATCTCCTGGATGCGCTCTTCGTGACTCTCCATCTCCAAGAAAGTCTTGATCTGACTGATGGTGAGGTTTTCCCTGTAGCCGAGCGAAACCAATTCGTCAAATGCGCTGAGCAATTCGTAGGCATTCTTCAATATCTCCCTCTCATCCAAGCTTCTGCATGTACTAGTAACCACCTGCGCAAATAGGTGGAGGGAGTCGATATCCTGCAAGATGTTGGACTGGCGGTTGGTGATGAGGACCATGTAGAGCTCGTCAAGGGGTTGGTAGACAAATCGAACATTGTCCTGCTCGACGGTGGTGTGCTGGGTGCCCGAGTCGGCAAGCTTAGGAAATGATGCTAGGAGGGCTTCGATTCGCGATCTGGGCATCTCACGGAACAGCCTCGAGAGGACAGCTTTCCCGCCTCGAGTACAAATAGATGCGGCTAAGACGACCTAATACAGGTTAGAGATCATTGGGGAACCTTACTTGGGTATCTGGGAATGTGTTATTACCATGTTGTCTGTATTGTTGCCCACGGGGACAGGCAACTTCTGTAGAATCAAAGGGGAATTGATATGAGTTGGTATTGTACTAAGGCTAGCAGCTGTCCAACGATCAAGCCAATTCACCGTACGTAGAAAATGTGGTACTGGACTTAATCCCCTGTCAAGCCACATGTTTGAACTGCAGGTGGCTACCTCTATGTTGCCGATGTTTATCCGACTGGGAGGTACATACCATCACCAACTTGCTGCATGCGCTACCTAATGTATGTACATACATAGGTTGCAGCTGTCGGGCAGGTGGGGTCCTGTCAATCCAAAATTACCTAACCTAATGCCTTCCTAACTTATTTCACAGCATACCTTCGCGGCTACCTTTTGTTAACCTAAAAGTGCCCGATCACCTATTTCATCAGTTCATTGTGCCTTCTCTCCATGTTTATCTCTTCAATCACAGACTGTTGATCTTACTTTAATGTTAAAGCCGCAAACTTAAAATTTTTAATTCTCCCACGACCCTATTTAAGTGCGTCATATCCTCGACATATTTTCGACAAGGCAGCATCGCCCTTCTTTCCCTCTTTTGTAAATCCCGTCTAAACCACGCGACGTGCATCTCACAGTCACTACGATATCCTTGTTACCTCACATTTATCCATACAGCAGTGCGACGACGGCCAACTATTACGTACCTTCCTACGTGCCTTTGACATTCTTGACCTGATTTACTTACCGACAACTTTCAATACTTTTCTTACCTACTTCCTACTTCATAACGGACCACGGTCTTGAAGGTAGTTCGACCAAAGCCTACGTCACAAGGCCTCTACTACATCTACATCTACCACAACCCCTTTTCAAGATCAATCTTTAATAGGTGAACTTTCGGTTACCACAAATGATTCTTACTTTTACACAAACTATTTGCATTGTACACGCCGTTCACCACCAATCGACAACCCTTTAGTCCGGATACACAGCATAGCAGGGCCTCGAAACACGTTAAAAAGTAGTGGCAAACCGCCAGGCCATCAAGTTTTTGACGACATCTTGTGCCCCGCGTTTGCGAAGCTATTGCGACGAATTATTGTAGACTTGAGGGTAGGCTCTGGCGATCATCAAGCAAGTGAAGTTTACAATCCCTTTCTTTCCGGAAATAGACAGTCTTCACCCCGACTTCCCGAGCTGCTTTGTTCGATACAGACTTGCCATTTTCTGCCTCCTTACCAAGAAACTGGATACTGGATAACCTACGTGGTATACCAATTTGATACATTCGAGAATAATACTATTCCCTTTCTAGGGACATTTCTCTATTAGGTTCTGCCATAGATTCCCTGCAGATAGCCTTGTATCCAAGCATTCTATACACAATGCCTGGGGAAGAAATGGAGATAACAACCGATTTCGGTCATGCTGGGTTTGGGGAAGACATCGACATAGATCTAGATTTTGCAGTCGGACAGATTGATGAGGACATGGAGCTTGCAGATTTTGATCAAGTCCAGGAGATTCCAAACTTCAACTCAGATACGAGAGATGAGCTGATGGCCGAGGGGGATGATGCGTCGTACGGTATGATAGATGCCGATGACATTGAGAATAACGAGGTGGCAGCAGCTTCTAACGATATCGAGATCGACCTTGGCGACCCTGACGAGAATCTATGGCAACAGACTGCCGCCCATGAAGAGAATTTTGAGCCCGTTGTTGAAATCGACATAGTCGAAACCACTGACGTTGGTAATGCCAATGCCAGCACTGAGAATGCTGGTAATGGCCAAGATGGCTGGTTAGAAGCACCAGCGTACTCCATTAGCAAGCCCGACGAAGCAGAAATCGGTCAGGTCGATGTTGGCACAATTGACGTAACAGACAACGATCTGCTTCCAGACGATGAAATTCTTGTAGGGGTCGACGTAGCCTCTCAAGACTTGGGAGTGGTTGTGACCGAAGGCGACAATGCAGAGGCTCTTGATGTCGGTGAGAATAACACTATTGAATCACAAGGCAGGGTGCAGAGTGCAAACGACGAACAGCAAAATGTATCTGCTGATGCTAGCCTCCAAGAGTCCACAAAGGAGCCTGCTGTTGAGCAACACGAGCATAAGAGTAATGATACCCACTCAGATGGACAAGCCAGTGAAGGTAACAATATCTACGAAACCCACTCAGATGTCAAACATCAAGCTAGCGGCGATGATGCATCTGAAATTGGATACGATAGTGACGATGACGACGGTAATTCCGTTCAGCATGGAGAACAGCCTTCTGCTCCTGTAGCATCTGATCAAGGATCCGTGGCAGAACATCCCGCTGGACAAGAACAGGAGCAGGTAGACCAACAGGATCCAGCCGACTTAGGGGATACTGAGCATCAGCTAGGCAGTGACTCACATGAAGAGTCTGCCAATGACCATGAATCTAGTAATCAATCCTACAGTAAAGAAGAGACTAGAGCCCCTGATGCCGATGAGACGCAAAGTCAGCCTGATGAGCAGGATGCCGAGTACGAAGACCCCGAAGCAGCCGTTACTGGCGATCAAGAGAAAACCCCTAGTGCCACTGATGCCGCTGTAGAACACCCCCTCTCTGTTGCTGCGCGCCATGAGATGTATATCTCGTACGGTAATACGGATTACAGGCTATTCGCTAAGTCCGAAGCCGATGATCCTAACAAGTACTTTTTGAGTGATATGGCAGCGTTAGAGCTTCCCCTCGGCCAATTGTTATCCAGCCTGCGGGATGTTATTTCAGACGAGCTTTCTCCTCTGGATGAGTTGGTCATGCACGTAGATGGCCTGGGACTTGAGTTCTCTGAGGTATGTTCAACTACGACCCCATATTAAACCTCATAGAAGCTAATTTATGTCATAGTCCTCTACAGCTGATATACTTGAAAAGTTCACGTTTGGTGACATTCTTGGTCTTTATGATAGATTGGTAAAAAATGACGGGTTGGAACCGCCGCCAGACCTCTACACGTATCTTATGGTAAGGCCTAATTGTAGGCAGCGCTTTATAGCGCTTCGAGATAGCGCAGATTCTGGCCGTGGCCTTTCAGAAATTGCCATTTATCGAGAAGAGACGCCGATTGATGGCGAGGAAGCTGGCGATTTTGACAGTCACTCCCCGTACGCCTTGCCCTCTGGGGAAGAAGATGATGAGGCCTATGACTATGAAGAAAGTGGTGCTGTGGAAGATGAAGCCGACCAAGGTGAAGCAGGAGAAGTCGAGAATAACGACGAGCCTAATTCACCCTCGGTACATGGTTCGGCCATAGGTACAAATACTGAAGACCCAGCAGGCGAAGCAGTTGAAGCCGACGCAGCCGATGCAGCTAACGAGGCCGACGAGGCTGATGAAGCTGGAGAAAACGCCGATAACAATGCAGACGCGAGTGCCGATGCGACCACAGCGGACGGCTTAATCGACTTCTCCGATGACGAACTAGACCTTTCATCAACGAAGCAGGGTAATTCTCACACTTCTCTTTTCAACCCCTCGGTCCCCACCGGTTGTACTAGAACTAAAACCTGCATATGCGATGATTGCTTTGCGGTTGAAATTATGGGAATGGAAGCCAGTTGGCAACTCGACAGCTTGAAATCAGCCTCACCCGGTAGTGCCATCGGGGCTGACCAGCCTTTCGAGTACGAGCTAGGCAAGAGCAATATAGATCCGCCGACAATTTCTCCTACCGAACAACACTTTTTCATTCCTGAACTCCGGTCTTTTGAGCATTTGCAAATAGTTACTAACATTCACCAACTTCAAGATCAACAAGCAAACGGCTCCCCGCACGATCGTACAGATGAGATTCAGAACGAGCATGATGCCCTTACCGCTGCCGAACGTAGTGATCCCAACCAGCATCCATCACCGATTAACGGAACAGCCGATGCCCCCAGCTCCGACATTACCAGTGCCACTGCCACGCTGAACGGCGACGATAAAGACGAGATCGACTACTCGGATGATGACGGAGATGAGATTGTGGGTGGCAACGATGCCACATCCAACAGTGGTATCAGCGTGTCGGCAACCCTTAAGGTGCCTATCAATGACGAGATCACATGGGAGTCAGAAGATGAGGATGCCCAGGACGCACCTGTTACAGCCCCCAAGGCAACGGTACAAGTGTCACCGGTATCTGGGAAGCGCGCTCGGTCAGATTCTGACCTAGACGAGGGCGTAACTGAACGTAGCGGTACGTGATCGACTTTGAACACTAACATATTGGCTATCCTGCTAACTTACTCCAGATGTCAAGCGTCGTCGTCCGTCATGATTTCTCCGAACTTTCCAACCCGATTTTCTCTTTATTTCTGTTTCCCCCTTCCGACATGCAATACATTCGAACACATCACTAATGAGCTGATGTCGAATTTGCATATTTGCAGTCAACCTACAGATACGCGATTCTGTTCCCGACGGGACGTGATTTGATTCCAGCATACTAATATACAGGTACGAGGGGTGCTAAAAACGGTTTAGCATTCTTAATGGTAAGTTTACTTTAATAACGAAAGACGAACAGCTCGTAAGGATACGCGAAACGGCTTCGTCACGTAACGAGACGGTGACGAGGACTCCTCTACTTCGAATTTTTGTTTGGCCCCTTTTCTTTTCTGATACCCGCGGCGCTCATCAGCTGTTCGCGGCGAGAGGTGTGCACCGTGTAAAAGGATACAAGGTCCCGGAGATATTTAGGAGTTTCGGCAAGGGAAAATCTATGGAAATTCCGGTACAAATGTCATAAATAGGAAGCAGCACGACGTGGCTGCTAATATATGACTGCCCACAGAAGAGTCAAGATTTCATGTCGCGTCGCAGGTGTATTGTGGAAGGAAGCTTGAGCTACAATGGCAATTTTAATCCAGTCGAGTTGAAACCTTGAGCAGCTGGATAGACAATGCCTTGCGTTGCTATAGCTGAGTTGGGGATCTCTTAGGTTTTGATAATGCAATCGCCGATTCCGTAGCAATATACGTTACACCTATGTTCACGAGGAGGTTGTTTCTAGTATTACGTATAAGTGGTTGTGATATGGCGACTCGCTTGAGACGGGAACGAAAAAAATTGTAGAAGAGTAAGGTGGAGACGCGTCGTTATGTCTAATATGAATCTTGGACTACTTGCATAGGTAGGTAGTTAGGTAGTTGATTATATCTCACGAAGGCGTTTCTGCAGTCAGCATATTATAATGCCTCCTTATAATGAAATATCAAAATGGGTTAACCTAGTTATATGTACAAGTCAGACAAAGTCGGATCCAAAACTGGCATTTGGTATCCAGTCTCTTCAATATTAAGACCTAATTGGGTATTCAATTAATAGAGGTTAATAGAGGGATGGATCAGATTGGAGATGATCGGCCTTCAGGAACAGGAAATACCTAGTCAGGATTAAGTACAGTTAAGAAGCAGGGAAGAGGTATGTTTTAGATTCCAGTTCCGAGTTCCACTGCGGTGAATGGGTTCAACCGTTCTTCCGTTTTAATATCCAGATCCCCCCCCTAGACTAATCGGTTAATCGGGGCATCGAACGCTATGAGCGCTCAGGTTCTTGCGTACGTGTTCTGCGGGTGCAAGGGGAGGCACAGCCTCGGCTTTGTGGGTCTTCTAAGAGAAGTACAAGCTTCCAAGGTTCTTAGGTGTGGGTTAAATTCTGTCTAAGAAGGTTTCAAGATACTATGTAATACGTCTAAGATACATTTAGGATCCGCCACAGACCCGAAAATATGTTTATTCCGGCTTGTCTCGAGTACCTTTTAGCTTGTGTCATTTAGCCCATTTAATTCATCCATTGGTAATTAATCCATCAGATCAGACTACCTTTTGGTAGTATGGTAGTAGAGTGAATCTCGATATTCTTGGGAAGAACCTTATCAAGGTGCTGAATACCTAATCATGTACGGAATAGGTACATCTGGTAATCCGTACATCTGATTGCGTACATGTACCTAGTCAGGCACGGGTTAAACTCTCACTTAGGCAGGCTAAGTGCATACTAAGATCGAAATACGGGGCTTAAACTTCGGTTAGCGCATCTCTAATTACTAGGTATGTACAGTAAACGGACGATGACGCCCCTACGCACGGCAGAACCAGGGTGGCTAGGTACATCATATTGGTTTGGGGCATCTCCAAGCGGCTAACCTACACATGTACCTAAGTAACCTCCCTGGAAGTACCCCGTACTTTTTCTCTGAAACCCCATTGCTCCCACTTCGAGTTGCAGTTCCAATGTTGCAAGTCAAAGGTCAAAGAGAGAGATCAAGCTTTCACAACTCCGCTGTAAATCACTACGAATCACTACGAACCCCCGAATTCTAATCCTCACCCCAACCCGCTACGAAATAGCATTCGTTCTTTTAAAAAGAAAAAAAAAGCTTATTCTCTCGTATCGTTCCTATACACTGTCCACGTCTACGGGTGCCTCTCGGTTTCCATCTACTAAGCGACGCTTCAAACGTGCGACCCTCAGCCACCGGCCTTTTCGACTAGGCGCGCAACCGATTCGATCATTCCCTTCGGGTATTCGTGGCATCTCCGCTGATCGAAGCGCAAATCGGTCCACCTGATCACTCCCTTCCGTTGCTTGCCCTCGCCCGGCGCGAGCTATCTATCTACTCTTGCGACGACCTCAATTCTGTTTTCCACCATTACCCCCCTCCATTTTCACTAGACGCTGCGATTCCTGTCGCGGCCGTAGATCCATCGCAATGATGATGCTAGACGAGAAGTACGGATAAACCCCCGAGGCCCGCCGCCGTGACAATGGGCTCTATAGCCTACGCCGCGAGCTGCTATCTTCGACCACAATGGACTGACTTGAATTCTTGAATAGATACATCGGACTGGCGTTAGCTATCTCATCAAGTTTAGCCATCGGTACGTCCCACGAGTGCGAGAAGATAGCGTACTTGCAGGATGCATCAACTAACACCATCCCATCTTATAGGCACGAGTTTTGTAATAACGAAGAAGGTACCGTAACCCAAAGAAGTCGGCGCTAAGCTGTGCCTCGATCTTTGTCGAGAGAGTCCGTTCTAATACGACGTAGGGATTGATACAAGCAGAAGAAAAGCATGGCTTCTCCGGCGAAGGTTACATCTACTTAAGAAACCCCTTATGGTGGGCTGGGATGGCAACCAGTAAGAATTTCCCCATTAAAGTTGTTGGTAAATTAGCAAACTGACGAACCATTCTTCGAAGTGATTACGGGAGAGATTTGCAACTTCGCCGCATATGCCTTTGCTCCAGCCATTCTAGTGACGCCTCTGGGCGCTCTATCTGTCCTAATCGGAGCCGTTCTGGGATCATACTTCCTGAAAGAGGAATTGGGAACTTTGGGAAAGCTTGGTTGTGCTATCTGCCTGTTAGGTGCTATTATCATCGTCCTCCATGCGCCTCCCGACGAGGACATCCAGACCATCGACCAAATCCTGAACTATGCGATTAGGCCCGGTGAGTTAAACCCCAGCGCAAGGAGATTCTTCTCAGACACGAGCTAATGGAGACTACTAGGTTTCCTTCTATACTGTGCAGTCGTGGCTATCTTCGCGACTGTCATGGTCTACAAGATCGCGCCGCTCCACGGCAAGAAGAACCCGCTGATCTACCTTTCGATCTGCTCTACTGTCGGCTCCGTATCGGTCATGTCTGTGAAGGCCTTCGGCATTGCGCTGAAGCTTACTTTCGCAGGCCACAACCAGTTTACCCACGCTTCGACCTACGTCTTCATGATCCTTACTGCGCTTTGCATCCTTACTCAGATGAATTATTTCAACAAGGCGCTCAGCCAGTTCAGCACCCAGATGTATGATCCACCACCTACTCTATATCCACTAACGAAGCTAACTTATTTGTAGAGTCAACCCCCTTTACTATGTCACCTTCACTACGGCCACCCTTTGCGCCTCGTTCATCCTCTTCTCCGGCTTCAACACTACCGACGTGGTTAACACCCTCTCCCTGCTTTGCGGGTTTCTCATAACCTTCACCGGCGTCTATCTCTTGAACTTATCCCGACGCGACCCCAACGGGACGAAGATTCTCGCCGGACAAGGCACCGATGCCGCTGGTACCGATATGATATCGAGTTTGCAGACGCGTCTTAGCATGCAAGCCCGGCGAAGTACCGGCTCGCGGCTAAGCATAGGAAGTCGGGGACATTCCGATAGAGAAGGGCTCATGCGCGCATACGACTTGGAACAAGCGGCAGGAGATTTCAGCCTCAACGATCTTGCCGAAGATAGCGACGACGAACCGTCGTCGAGGAGGAATGGCGCAGCTGTACGCTCGAAGAAAGGCCACGAGTCGATCGAACTTCAGAACCGGAGATCGTCCGAGCAATAAGCTAGCTTCACATCGGAAGATTAGTATCTCATATATGTCCTCATATATGTCCCTGTTCAACATCTCTACGATCACATTGTATATTTTCCTATTCGGCGGCGCTCTTCATCGAAAGATTAGATCATCGAATTCCACGGGTGGACACGATTCATATTAAGGATTCCCATGTTGCTAGTTCCAGATTGGAACTTAGGGTGTAAAATGGCAGTAACCCTTCTCTCCTCCGCCAGGGAAGGGGAATATCGGGCTCACTAAAGGAGTATTAGAGGTAGCATCATTTTTGGGTTCTTGGTTGGGATTATCTCACCGCGGCGTTTCGGGGAACAAACGGGTTACTTTGGAAGTACCCTCCGGCACATTCGGCGCAGAGGCGAGGGGATCCGGTTCCGGTTCCGGTTCATTGGGGCGCGAGAAATGGTAGCAAGCTACCGATACCTTCCACATTATCGAATTTGAGAGGAATCAACTTTATTTTACTTCCCTTTTTTTCTGTATGATTACTACGCGCGAAAGCGAGGTGACGATAAACGGCATGGTCCTTTCTGCACTGTGCCGGATCTGGTGCCGGATGGGTGGGCAAACGGAATTGGGCCGACGGTTGACAGGTCAGTGAGCGACTCTGAATAGCCGTCCCTAAGTTGTCAGGTCCTGTAGACCGCTAGAAGGTGGCGAGTACTTAATGAACGCCATCCTCCAGCATAGATGTGTGTCGAATTTTAAGTACATCTACTCCAGACTATGGTACGGTAGATATCTAGTACCGAGGAGGGAAGTTTATGTGCTCATGTATTAGCTAGGCAAGTTACCTATCCTACGAGAATGAGAAGGGTGCGTGTACGCCGAATTTTGAGGATATTGAACGTGAATTATCCTCGTTTTTATCGAGTGGCCCACAACTGAAATATCTAATTAATGGTAGATTTTAAGTATGAATCAATACTCATTACATTACGTCTAGTAAAAAAATGCATTTTACTTTAGCACGTATGGCACTCATCACCAGGATTTCCATATGTTGTGTGACGATTGCTACCTATTTTGCAGTCCACGGCTCTCCCTAGTAGAGGCCGTGTTTAGCTAGCCTAGAATCGACAATAGAGCATCCGTTGTTTACCGTCCCTGCAATGCAAATGATGATCAAAGACGCCGAAGAATCTCTTGCCCTCGAGAAAAGACAGACCGCGTTTCCTCGTTAGAATTCATCCATTTCCGTTCCCCCCGTTTTTCTTTCCCCAGCGTTCAGATTGAAGAGTCCAGCACCGACTGCTCAATCCTTTATTCCTCAGCGGGGGCAGCCTCCTCGCCGCCTTCCTCCTCGGCGGCGCGAGCAGCCTCGGCCTGAGCCTGGATCTGAGCGGCCTTGGCGCCATAGTCTTGGCTCATAGGCGTCACGATGCTAGACTCTTCCTTGGGCTCGATGATGGTGACGGCGTCGGGTAGAGACTTGGAGGGACCGGCCTTGCCCTCGGGGTCGGAGCCGCGCATGATCTTGACCTTGATACCGAGAACACCCTGGCGCAGGAGAACGTGGCGGGTGGCGCTGTCGATGAAGTCGCGGGCGGGCTGACCAGAGTGGATCATGAAGCCGTCGGTGAACTTCATAGACTTGGCACGGGCGGCACGCAGCTTACCGGAGACGACGACCTCGCAACCCTTGGCGCCGCTCTCCATGATGAAGCGGAGGACACCATAGCAGGCACGACGGACGGCGAGACCGTTGAGGAGCTTATAGCGCAGGGACTCGCACTGGGCGACGGCGGACAGGCCGCGGTTCTGGACCTTGGCAGCGTAGAGGGACACCGAGTTCTCGGGGAACTTGAAGCGCTTCTGGATGAGGGAGGTGAGCTCGCGAATGCGGCGGCCCTGCTCGCCGAGAACCTCCTGGGTGTGGGTGGCGCGGATGATGATGTCGGTGACGGTGGGAGTGACGCGCACTTCGACGCCCGAGTAGCCCTCCTCGGCAAGCTCGCGCTGGAAGAATTCGTTCAGCTCGGCATAGAAGACGCCGTCAGCGACGAACTTTCTGCGCTTGGAACTGCGGAGAGAAGGTAAGTTAGCATGTTGGAGCCAGGTCGATCTAATTAGAATGGAAAGGCGCTACTTACATTTGAGAACCCGGGACGGCCATCTTGACTGTTGTGTTGGATATGAATGACGACTGCTAGGAATCGATCTGTAGTTAAAGGTGTCTTGGTGAGAGAATTGCTCAGCTTGCCGGGTTGGAGTTTGCAGTCGTCACAAAAATTCGGGGCGGTGGTGGGATTGATGGTGGACAGTGGTGGATGCACTGTCTGGATTTTGGCTGTTAATTTTTAGCTTAGGGTTGAGAATTGTGTGCTAGATTAGAGAGGTGTTATCGATAAGAATTATTCCCGAAGCGATGCATCTAATTCTTGGCGGTACATTTGCACGGGCCTAGGTATTTATTCATTGTACATACATATGTATGTAGTACAATACATAGTACCTCTTACGTACTCCACTTCTGCTTTAGTTCGTGTGTGACGTCGGTGTCAGCCACATGCGATTCCCCAATTTCCAATTCCTCAGCCTCGCCTTTTCGTTCTTTGGTGCTAGGTAATGCAGAACCTTAGGATGGATGGATCCGTTGTATTGTACCTAAGATGTACTACCTAAGATGTACATACCTCTTGCCCTGAACTGTTTAACTCTAGCTGCCCCGCCGCTAAAAAGTATATTTTATGCTCTAGCAGCGCCAGTCGCCAGTGACCAGTAACCAGTGACACTGGCAGGGCAGGTCTGAATTTATACGTCTACCTAATCTGCTAATGCACCTACACCTACTTGGCCAACCTCGAACCAACCTTTGCACAATGTGACGGCTGACTTTAACATATGATGCGCTGCCAACTCACAATACACCACGATGCAGCTGGCTAAGCCGTAGTAATCTTGCATACCAACTCATTAGCAACAATTGTTCTTTTCTTTCATCAGCTGTAGTTTATCTAAGCCTGTCCTCCCGTCGAGCTGTCGAGCTGTCAAGCTGTCAAGCTGTCAAGCTGTAAAGCTGTCAAGCTGTCAAGCTGAATTCCAAGGCCTTGCGGGTTTTCGGGCACCTTCAAGTTTCCCTTCGCTGGGCAAATGCGACAACAAGTCCCACCTCGCCTTTGACTGCTTCGATGTAAATCCACACTTGCAAAGCTTCCAAGATGCAAGTCAAGAAGGTAGATGCTTCTTCCGCAGTCTCCGTTTGCTCTCGCCATTGCTAATTCCACCCTGACAGATACCCAATGTCGATGCCATCAGGGGCGGCGAGAGACACTCTGGCGAACTCCATCTTACGGAACACCATATCATATTTTCCTTTCCTAGTACCCAACCAGATGGAGCACCAATACAACCGAGTGCAATACAACCGAGCGCCTCAAAACCTCGCGAGGTTTATATCGCCTATCCCATAATTGCCAACTGTATCTTTCGACCGTGTCCTAGTGCGACCGGGCGCCCATCCTCGATACGGCTACGGTGTCGCGATTTTATGTTTATAAACTTCAACTTCTCGGATGAGGTACAGGGGCGGGATGCGTTTGAATACATCCGGAACCGCACTTGTCGGCTCGGTTCGATAGAAAAGCTATACGCTTTCAGCTACCAACCCTTGAAGCTGGAGAAACCGTTCGACGGATGGAACATCTACGATCCGAGAGTCGAGTTTCGACGGCAAGGGATCAGCACCAAGTCTGTCGATAGAGGATGGAGGATATCCTTAATAAATAAGGATTATAATTTCTCGCCGACCTACCCTGGCCTTCTCGTCGTTCCCTCTAAGATATCCGACAATGTCATCAAGTATGCTGGCTCGTACCGATCGAGGCAGCGCATACCTGTCTTGACATATCTTCACTCCCTAAATAATTGCTCCATCACGCGGAGTTCTCAGCCTATGGTCGGGTTCAGGGGGAATCGCAGCATACAGGACGAGAAGCTGGTCAGCGCGTGCTTCTCCGCTTCGGCTACCGTTGAGTTTAATGGAATAGAAGCCCCAGTAGCGGACACGACGGAGCCCAGCCCAGCGTCCAGTCATGCGGATCTCCGAGATACTTTGGATACGGAAACTTCAGAAACCGAACGCCTCGAGGATGAGCTCATCGCGGGGGACGAGAGCAACTACGATACGAAAACAGGAAAGCGGTTGGTATATGGCGCACAGCAGAGCAATCTCATCGTGGATGCTCGACCAACCATCAACGCAGTTGTAATGCAGGCAATGGGAAAGGGGTCGGAAAATATGGAATACTACAAGTTCGCTAAGAAAGCCTATCTGAATATCGAGAATATTCACGTCATGAGAGAATCTCTTAACACCGTTATAGAGGCTTTGAAAGATGGAGACATCTCTCGCCTCCCTCCTAATCGCGAACTGCTCGCGAAGAGCGGTTGGCTTAAACACATTACCGGTATACTCGACGGGTCGGCCCTGATCGCACGCCAAGTTGGTATAAGACACTCGCACGTCTTGATCCACTGTTCGGACGGTTGGGACCGTACTAGCCAGCTATCAGCCCTGTCGCAGCTGATGCTAGATCCTTACTACCGCACAATCGAAGGGTTTATCGTATTAATCGAGAAAGATTGGTTATCCTTTGGGCACATGTTCCAACAACGTTCCGGCTTGCTCAACCACGAGAAGTGGTTTGCTGTAGAACGCGATTCCCTGGCTGGTTCGGCGATACAGCCCGGCGAGTCGGACGGCCGCGCGGGCGAAGCCTTCGAAAATGCGCTCGCGAGCGCAAAGCGATTCTTCAAGAACCGTAGCAGCGAAGCTAACGCAGAATCGGACGGCGACGGTGTAGCATCGCCAGCCGACGATCCGTCGCAAGTCAAGAAACCGGCACCAGGTACGCCCGAAGCTAGCGAAGCCACTCGACCCAACGAGATATCCCCTGTTTTCCACCAATTCCTCGACGCGACGTACCAGATCTTGCGGCAGCATCCTAATCGTTTCGAGTTCAACGAGCGATTCCTGCGGCGACTCCTCTACCACCTCTATGCCGGACAGTACGGCACGTTCCTATGGAATAACGAGAAGTCCCGCAAAGACGCCCGAGCGAACGAGAGGACGAGGTCGGTATGGGACTATTTCCTATCACGGAAACCAGAGTTTATCAACCGAGACTATGACGCGACGATTGACGATCGGCAAAGCGGCCGCGAGAGGCTCATCTTCCCGAAACTTTCTGACGTGCGCTGGTGGCACCAGCTCTTTGGCAGGTCAGATGCGGAGATGAACGAGTACCTCGATCTAGCTGCGGCGAGGGACGAGAGGCTCGGCAGCTACGCCCTAGGCACCACAACGCCATCCATGCCGGGTGGCTTCACGGGCTCTCCAAATAGATCGCCACGGCCGCCGCAAAGTCCCCAACCGCCAAGCTTACCTCTAAGCAAGAGCGTGCTTACAGGTGTGGAATCCGCACACGAAGCACTTACGTCGGAGCAACGGGCGGTAACTAACCCGGCAAGTCTAAAACACAACGCCAGCGCCGACACGCCCAACGCGTTCACAACAAATCTCGCTAAGATTAGGGACGGGGTGGCCGGGCTAGATATAGGACGAGGCATGTTCGGGGGTTCTAGCGCTGCGAGCGTCGGCGAAGACGCGAGCGTGAAATCGGGCGAACAGGAGATGGCGGATATGCCTACAGGGAGCGAGAGAGGGAGCGAGAAGGGGAGCACGGAAATTGCGTGATCGTGAGGTTTTCCTCCCTGGCCACAATATGGGCATTATTATGGTGTGGCATTGTAAGAGTTACTACTAGGCGCCCTACGAACGAGAATTAACAAAAGAAGATGCGATACGCTAGTTACGTTGTATGTTGATGTCACGCATATATACCTATGTACAAGTATTCGCTTGACGGTGTTGGCTCTTGGCTCTTGGAGGGTGTTCTGGTTTGGGCAAGAGGTTAGATGGGGTAAGAGGTTTGTTAGTTGGTATGAGACGATGACGTGATGGGGATAAGGCAACCAACGTTGTTGATGTTTAGATCGGCCATGGTCTATCTACTGTACTGTGTACGTCTTGTGAGGAAGTAGTAGGTAGGCAGTCTGGCGGAAAGAATTATGTACTACTAAAAAACACATGATGGAATTCCCAAGCTACAAGTTTTGGATCATGCTAGGAATTCTTCCTACCAACCTATTCTAGGCGTTTTTGCCTAAATCCCGCATCATCTAACTGCGTCCTCTTTTCTTATCCCTGGTCTTTCATCCTCGCGGGAAACAGACACAGATAGCAACACCACGCGACTCTAAGCTATCTTCTCTTCTCTACCCTCGCTTAACTTCCTCCCGTCTCTTCTCGTCTCGTACCGTCTCGGTTCTACCACCGCTTTATAAGAAGACCTCGAGATTGACTTCGAGGGTACTGACGGGGTACTTGAGCTCGAAGTTCTCGAGGACAGAGGGATGTAAGATGCCGAACTCGCCGATGCGCGCCGTCTTGCCGCTTAGGCGGGCGAAGACGGCAGCAGCGCGGCCGGGGAAGAAAGTTGCCTCGTCGTCGATGGGCTCGAGCCAGTAGCCGTCGCGCTTCAGGTGTTGGGGAGTGACTTTGAAGTCGATGTCCTTGCCGGTGAGGCCTTCGTCGTGGGTCAGGAAGGCCTGGCGCAGCATAGCCATGACGCGGTCCAGCAGGCCGTGGACCTCTTCGAAACCGGAAGCCTTACCGCACCAAGCAGCGGCGAAGTGGCGCTCGTTGCGGGCTTTTCGCTCCGCGCTGGGATCCTTGAACACGACGTCCGAAGTCTCGAAGATGCGGAGCGGGAGGGCCACGCCCTTGTTCTCGCGGATGGTCTTCAGCAAGCCGGGGAGCAGCGACGTGCGCACGATCTGGTACTCAGCGGTCTTGGGGTTAGCGAGCCTGACTGCTTTAGTGCCGTCGTCCTTCCGGTTCAGCCACGCGAAGTTCTCGTCGTGGCTGCATAGGATCAGGGGCATGACCTCGGACCAGCCCGCCATGCCGGACTCGAGGCGCACGATGTCGGCTAGCTTGTTGAGGGTCAGGGGCGCGCCAACCGTCTTGGTCACGGTCATCCTGGGAAGCTTGTTGAATCCGTATGCGATGCCGAGATCTTCCATGATATCGCATCTTTGGAGTATGTCGGCGCGCGTCGGCGGTATCGTGACTTCTATCAGGGCGTCCGGGTCCTCGCTCGAGGGCTTAGCGGCTAGAGCCATCTTCGAGAGGAGCTTGCTGATGTTCTCGGCAGACTCGGAGAGGCCAAGGCAACCGTTCAAGTAGTCGACCTCGACAGTGGTTGTTCGTGGTGTTAGGTTGGGTGATATCCGGGTCTGGCCGTTGTGGTCGGATATGACCTTGATAGGCTCGACGGTGAAGGGCTCCTCGGCATAGACGGAGAACATTGCGACCATCATGTTGACGACAATTTCCAGCTTGGTCTGGTCCGTTGCCGTACATTCTATAAAGACGTTCTTGGTGTTGAGAGAAATCTTGGAATGGTTGCTGTTGATGATGGGCGGCAGCGAGCAGACTACCCTATTCGCGTCGTAGATGACGGGGTAAACCGAATTGTCCCGGACGATGTGCAAGTATTTACCTATATTCTTATCCTTCTCGTAGAAAGCCATCAGTTCCTCTCCGTTCATCTGCTTGGTCTGGTTGAGGGGCGTGAAGACAATTTCTTGCGGCGGTCGCGCCTCGTACGTGAAGGGTCCCTTGATGGTATCCAAGTCGTGAGTTCCGATGGCGACTAGCGTACGCTGGCGGGCGAGGTTCTGGTGTAGCTTGTCTTGAAGGGCGATGAAGGAATCATAGTTCTTCTGGGTGAACTTGACATTGCGCAAGATGGCGCCACCGACCAGCGGCCGCACTTTCATAGTATCCTCAAGGACAGTGATGGTATGCATGTTCCCGGAGACGGGCTGGATTAATCTGATATTGGGAGTAGGTTGCCTTTCCCGGAAGATGTTGAGCATAAGGGCTATGCCCTCGAAGCAGAGCAAGTCATATCGGTTGGCGGGGATCTCGATCTTTAGCTGGGGAGGTTCTTGAACGCCATCCACGACAGGTCTCTCTTCATTCTCCGTATCTTCGTCTAGCTCGATACCAAACTCGAAACATAGCTCTTCGAACTCGGCGGTGGTGAACCTGGACGACGGTGTGTTAGTGGGGTAATATTGGTAATATTCAGGGTCGTGGAGGGGTCGAATGCTACGAACTGTTGACCTAGAGCCTCGTAGAGGTCATATTTATTGACTGATATGGTAGGCATCTTCTATATGGCCCCTTTTGAGGGTATAACAGAGCCTAGAGGCCAGGGATATTTGCGCAATTCGTTGTTTCGAGGAATTGGTCGGTCCTGAGTCACCGTCGACTTTGGAAATTTGTTTAGGTTGCAGTTGTACAACCCCACCATGAGATATGCTTTATGCAATATCGGGTGTGCAACCTACCTTGGCGGGGATATTATTCAAACCGGAGTTGAAGTCGGTAGCCCTTACATAAGTACCTAAAGTGCCTAGGTAGGTACCTAATCTATACAATCTTACCTACCTAGGTTTAGGTACGAGTGCAATACTAGAGGTCACACTATCTGCTAGATGACCTTGGGCGCAACAGATACATCATCTTCGGCCAATCAGCTTAATTTATGTTTAAGCCTTTGGCCAGGCATATTTTGTAAGCTACCAATTATTCAAAGCTGTCTGACCATAAACCGCCTGCCGTAATAGAGAAAGTGACATCACTGCTTTCGTTTACTGCGTTCGGCCACACAGTGAACATGTTCGATACGCAGCCCAACGCTGAGCTACGCTATACAAGCCTAAAATGTACATGAGCACTAACTTGATACGATTTAGATGGTAATAATTAAAAGACGGCTGTGCTTTCAAATAAGACACCTTTATGAAAATAGGAAACGTAACTAAAGCATCGGAGGTACACAGGAAATTACATAAGGTAGGTACCTATGGCCTACCCAAAATATGAAGCTGATAAGGTCCTTAAAATAAAGGTAAAAGAAGAGCCAGGGGTGCAATGCGTAACAGCACTGTCGAATTTAGGGCGGGGAAGTGCATGTACCTAACGTACATAATTCCAAGGTACCTAGTACCTATGTACGTAGCATGATGAACACAACATACATGTATGTAGGTACCTAGGGAACAAAAACGATATGTGGGGCATCTATGGCACCCGGGCAGAGATTTCCATCATTATCTCAAGCCAGCAGGCCAGACAGGACCAAACAACGCATAAGCCACAATATTTTCAGAACTAAGAACAGCTAGTCAAGGCAAGCCCCCGTTGTTGCCTCATTTACCTCACTTACCTTTACCTGCCCCATGCCTGATAATACCTGAAGTAGGTGCAGTCCGGTACAAAATTATGGTACAATATCAAAGTACATAGTAGCTCTAGCCCGCGTTAAACCTATTTCCACCAAAAGCATCTTTCTCTTGGTCACAACACAATCCTATCCACCAAAGCGACCTTCCCATGATACCCCTCGATGATCTAATTTGGAAGACCTGATCCACGATCCACGGCGAACTGAAGACCACCCGTAGACGACTCATCAATTTTACAATTTTACCGCTCCGCCTATCCAACCTATCCAACATATATTTTTTGGGCTATCGGAGCACTAGCGATAGTTGATCTCTGCCCGGTTTCGTCTCCAAGTCGCCAAATTGACCTGACATCGACCTAACTCATTGCATCACTCCACCAGACCGCCCACTCCCACGCCCACGCCCACGCCCACGCGATCTAGCAAGCGCACTCCCAGACCCCCAAGCCGGTTCTCAACTTGCCGGCCTCAACGCCTTCACCACCTTTTTTACTACTGCATAATTACACTTCGCCATGGCTGACGCGCCAAATGCGAACGATGAGCTGTACCCTATCGCCGTGCTCATAGACGAATTAAAGGTGAGGCGGTGACCCCAGCCCATATATCACCACGTATTAGAACTTCATCCTCTAACCTTGCTATCAGCACGACGACGTTCTGCTCCGATTGAACGCCATCCATCGTCTATCGACAATCGCGCTTGCTTTAGGTCCCGAGCGCACTCGTGACGAACTCATTCCCTTTCTAGATGGTCAGATACCGACCCCAGCCTCTAAGCCAAACCATAATCTAACATCAGCATCAGAGTCGGTCGAAGACGAGGATGAAGTTCTCGTAGCCCTAAGCGAGGAGCTGGGCAGCTTCATCGAATACGTAGGCGGGCCCCAATACGGCCACGTCCTCCTCTCCCCCCTCGAGAACCTCGCAGCCATCGAAGAGCCCGTCGTCCGGGATAAGGTCCGTCCATACAGCCTCGCGGGAATCCTTATCGCCATCTGCTAACTATTTCTCGCAGGCCGTCGAGTCCCTCAACAAGATCTGCAGCGAGCTATCACCCCAACAGGTCGAAGAGTATTTCATCCCTCTTACTATCCGACTATCAAAGGCGGACTGGTTTACCTCCAAGGTATCCGGATGCGGCCTCTTCACAGCTCCTTACTCCAAGGTGTCTCCCCCCGTCCAAGAACAGCTTCGCCAACAGTTTGGCCACCTAGTACATGATGAAACCCCCATGGTGCGAAGACAATCCGCCACCAACATGGCCAAGTTCGTGAAGGAAATGCCCGCGGCTATCGTTGTGGAGGAGATGATACCCCTTTTCCAGCACCTCGCGCAGGATGACCAGGACAGCGTGCGATTATTGACAGTAGAGATTCTGATTTCTATCGCCGAGGTTGTGCCCAAGGAGCAGCAGGGCAGCCATGGCGTTTTGCTTACGTCGTTACGAAATTTGATAGAAGATAAGAGCTGGAGGGTTCGATACATGATTGCTGATAGGTTTGAAAAGGTATCGATCCCCTCCCTTGCTTCATGTTTTGTATAGTCCAGGCTAATGGCAGGCAACGCAGATTGCGAAAGCTGTAGACGAAGAGGTGGTCACTCGAGACCTAGTACCCTCGTTTGTCAAGCTACTGAAGGATAACGAGGCCGAAGTTAGGACTGCCATCGCCGGCCAGATCCCCGGCTTCTGCACTCTAGTCGATAGGACTACGCTGCTCAACGATATCATGAGCTCCATCGAAGACCTAGTCTCCGACACGTCACAGCACGTCCGCGCCGCTCTAGGCACGCAGATCAGCGGTCTAGCCCCGATTCTGGGCAAGCAAGAGTAAGCCCATCTGCTAAATCTTAGGATCCTAGCCATTGACCTTTATTAGAACTATCGACCACCTCCTTCCAATGTTCTTGCAGATGTTGAAGGACGAGTTTCCCGAAGTTCGTTTACATATCATCTCGAAACTCGAACTCGTCAACCAAGGTATATACTCTGGCAAGACCCCGTAGAAGCTCGCGTTGTTAACGTTATCAGTCATCGGTATCGACCTCCTCTCCCAGTCTCTCCTGCCCGCGATCGTGCAGCTCGCCGAAGATAAGCAATGGAGAGTACGACTTGCTATCATCGAGTATATCCCGCTCCTTGCCAGTCAGCTCGGTGTCCAGTTCTTCGACGAGAAACTGAGCTCGTTGTGCATGGGCTGGCTAGGGGATACGGTCTTCTCGATCCGAGAGGCTGCCACTCACAACCTGAAGAAGCTCACGGAAGTGTTCGGAGTCGAGTGGGCTAGCGAAGCTATCATCCCGAAGGTGATGGCTATGGGCTCTCATCCTAACTATCTATACCGGATGACGACTTGCTTCGCTATCTCGGTAAGTTTGCTTGTCATTTTCCAGTGCTCTTTATAGATTTTAACCAGCAGTAGACTCTCGCGACCGTTGTCAGCTTGGACGTGATTGGAAAGTCGATTTTGCCTATGCTGGAAAAGCTTGTGGCGGACGAGATTCCCAATATACGCTTCAACGTGGCGAAGACGTACGCCGTGCTCATCGACGTCTTAAAACGACTTCCCGAAGAGGGTACCGTCTACAGTCTGGAGAAGGCGGGAACGACAACGACCACGCCATCTCCTCGGGCAACCGAGCTCATCCAGCAGCGCATCTTGCCGAGCCTGGAGAAGCTGCAGAAGGACGACGACGTGGACGTGCGCTACTTTGCGACGACAGCGGTAGCAGGAATTCCCGGAATGGGTGGGGAGCCTATGAACACATCGCCGTAGACGAAAGATTGAAGAGAACTCTTTCAACATGCAGCCATGTACTAGAGTGTCCTAGTTTCATCTCTCGCGAGATGGCCGTCTCGGATTGTCCAGCGTCAGTTCGTGCAAGGGTCCTTCAGAAAGTGAAATTTTGAGGGTCCGTAGAGTAGATGTATGGGAAGCACGCACACAGTCGTCAAATGCATTTTTTGGAGGGTTGTGCCCTACTCGACATCGAGGCCCGTAGGACTTTAAAGCCGCACAAACTTCTATAGAAGGGCTTCGAGCCATGAGCCCCGAACCGGCGCTCTTGTTTTGGAAGCTGCCTGATATGTGTATGATAAAAGACGAAAAAAAGAGCATGATCAGTTTAATAGATCTCAGTCGAACAGGTTTGTAGTAATGCTGTTCCATCCTTCTAATTGTACTCTACTGGGGTATCTTTCCTAGGTTAATGCACTCCTACGTCTATGTTTGTACTGCCCGTGTTAATTTTAAGTATCCCTAACTTTCTTGAAGCATAAACTACTAATGGTTTGTCCCTTTACGCCGCCAAAACTAAAGCTAGGGTACTCGACCCTACCGACTAGGTCGAAGCGCCACCCTCTCGCGTCTCCATCGTCCTTTCCTTCCTTCCTAGCACCCTCGAACCAGCTCTTCAGCTCCTCTTCGGTCCAGTTGCAGCTCGTGACGAGAAATAAGCCCTCGTCGCGCACGAGAGGCGCAACCCGCGCTCTATAGGATTCACTAACACGACGCCCGCTCACAGGGTCCGTCTCTGACGACAACGATATCGCATCGAAGGTGCCCTTATCCAGTACGACGTCCCAGCCCCGCGGTTGTTGCGCATCAGCCAAGAGCGCAGAGGCCGGCGTTTGAAGGATGTCGTGCTCGCGGAACTCGACCGGCCTTTCGCTTTCGGTATCCGGGTCTTGTGACCGCGACTCCGCAATGCGCCGCGCGAACTCGACGCTTTGGCGCGAGTAGTCTACGCCTTGCATACGTCCTTGCCAGCCGGCATCGCGCAGGCCGAAGAGGAGAGATCCGTTGCCGGTGCCGAGGTCGAGGAAGGAGGATTCTTCTGTGGAGAGATGTAGCTCGGGGTCGGAGAGGAAGTCGATGACCTTGGCTTCGGCGTCCGAGTCGTCGAACCAGACGGTGCCGGTGTCGGCGGGGTTATGCGCGTGGTTGGAGATTTCGGCTGTGTAGAGGTTGTCCCAGCTGTTGGTTTGTTTTGGCGTTAGATGGTTGAGCTGGAGAGCAGGGGAGGGTTCATGATTGGAGGAGAATAGATGGGCGGGCATACTATTCCTTGGTGCCCAGCTCGGACGGCTCGAGGTGTGTTGGCTTGGACATTATAGAGGTTTTTATGAGTCAATTAGCTCTGGTAACCATGCAGGAGAGACATGTTTGATTACGAAGCTATAGTCATGACGCTATTCTAGATTTGACCCAAATTACATACTTCACGATAATATGAGAATCGCAATCTTTACCTTTTAGAAGGTGGGAGGTTAAAGGAGGGGCACACGGCAGAATAGTACAAGATTGGTAGGCGGTCTGGCGTCTTGCTGATAATCGAGATAAGATAAGATGAAGTACATGGCCAAGATGAATAAAAATGGAATGCAATGCACGGACCAAGCATAAGCGATCGATAAGCGATAAGCGATAAGAGTCAATCACCTAAACTTTTCTGTCGTCACGGACGAGGCGAATCCCCTTCGGCTTCCGTGTGTAAACGTCTCGTCGCAAATTCGATGCCCTCAGTATGTTTCGCGCTTGCTCGTCTAGATACTTAAATAGAGGTATTACCTCTCCTGCGAAATCATGCGCTAGGGTATTCCGACCGATTCAGACTCGTACCCTCGCCAGCGCCAGCGTGAACGTGCCAAGTGCAAAGGTGCGTTGGCAATCCCATGTCTTGATTGCCTTCACTCATTCCCTTCACTCATTCCTCACTCGCTGCCTTCACCATATATTTCTTATTTCTTAAACGTTATTTCTCAAACGTATAAACTAACACAAAACAGGAACCGACAGAACTCGACCACATATCAACATTACCGAATGGAGTCCGAGTAGCTTCAGAGGCTCTTCCGGGGTCTTTCTCCGGTGTTGGCGTATATATCGAGGCCGGATCGAGATTCGAGAATACTTACTTGAGCGGGGTGAGCCACATCGCCGATCGGCTGGCCTTCCACTCTACAGAAAACAAAACGGCAGAGGATATACAAGAGACGGTAGAGTCTCTAGGGGGAAACGTACAATGCGTGTCTTCCCGAGAGTCCATAATGTACCAAGCCGCCACTTTCAACTCGGCCATCCCGACGGCGACTGAGCTGCTTGCCGACACGGTACGGAATCCCCGAATTACCGAGGAAGAGGTTGCCGGAGAACTCCAGACGGCCGAGTATGAGATCACCGAGATATGGAAGAAGCCCGAGCTTATTCTGCCCGAGTTGGTGCATATGGCGGCCTTCAAGGGTAACACTCTTGGCAACCCTCTGTTGTGTCCTCGGGAACGGATACCCGAAATCGACAGTTCGGTGGTTAGGACATATAGAGACGCTTTCTATCGTCCCGAACGGACCGTCGTCGCCTTTGCCGGTGTTCCGCATTCCGAGGCGGTGCAGCTAGCAACCAAGTTCTTCGGGGATATGCAAGCTTCTGGACACCCTCTCCTGTCTCGGACGGGATCAGAAACGTCTACCGATACCTCAACTTCTTCGTCTTCTTCGGCATCATCGTCTCCCCCGTCAACAACATCTAGTATAATGTCCAAGTTACCCCTATTCAAAAACCTCTCTACTTCGGCAAGCCGCAACGCATCCGTCTCTACCACTCCGGCTATCTCGCCGTCGCTGGAAGAACTCACCATGTCGGCGCATTATACCGGCGGTTTCGTCGCGCTCCCACCGCAACCTCCTGCCGCTAATCTCAACCAACCCGTATTTACTCACATTCACCTCGCCTTCGAGGGGTTGCCCATCGCATCAGATGATATTTATGCGCTGGCAACGCTCAACACGCTTCTCGGCGGTGGCGGATCCTTCTCCGCCGGCGGGCCCGGGAAGGGCATGTATTCGAGACTGTACACCAACGTGCTCAACCAACACGCCTGGGTAGAGTCTTGTATCGCATTCAACCACTCTTACACAGATTCCGGGCTGTTCGGCATCTCTGCCCAGTGCATCCCCGGCCGCACGCAGCACATGCTCGACGTCATGTGCCAAGAATTGAGGGCGCTTACTGTGGACACCGGTTTTGCTGCCCTCGGCCACGCCGAAGTTAACCGCGCCAAGAATCAGCTACGATCCAGTCTCCTAATGAACTTGGAGAGTCGGATGGTCGAGCTAGAAGATCTAGGCAGGCAAGTCCAGGTACACGGTCGCAAGGTACCGGTCCAGGAGATGTGCCGAAAGATTCAGAGCCTCACGATTAACGACTTACGCCGGGTAGCGAAGCAGGTCGTAGGGGGGTTAGTACAAAACAACGGTAGAGGAAGCGGTGCTCCGACGGTGGTGCTACAAGAGGCCCAGCACCCATTCAGCACTATAAAACAGATGTCTTGGGAAGAGATACAGGATAGAATATACAAATGGGGCCTAGGTAAGAGGTAAGAGGTAAGAGGTGAGCGGTAAGGAACTTAGCCGCCCCCGGCAGCAGCGAGGTTCCCAGAAGCAATCATGCGCGGTTTTGGGATCTTACGATACGGCCAGTCCGAGCCTAGCCCCCGAGCGCTCTCGCTTCGAGGAGCCCTTCATTGTACAATGATGTATATTAGCGATGACAAGCGTCGGATTTTGTACGATGTAGGCATGATCACAAGCATACCCGACTAATCGAGGCATTCCCAATCTCACGTTCTAGAATGGAGGCACAGTGCATAACCACGGGCTACGAATCAGGACAGCTGCCCTAAAATGCCGCGTAAGCTTGATGCTAACGAGGATGAAGAGTATTTACGTCCTACGCCGGGACTCGACATGATCGGGTATCTTAGCAGGAAGCGGAAACGAGTGTTCTAACGAGGTAGGACAAATACTGCTTCGAGTTTACGAACCTGCGGACTATTACATGACTACATTCGACAACCGTGCCATAAAGCTTCCTCTCTATTCTCTAGAACAACGTGAACCGGCCTATGATTTCTGCTTCCGGCACACCGACGCACGTTTTCAGTACGATTTGGCCTCCCGGGTTCCACGACAGCCCGCGAAGCTGCAGACGCTGGGACACGGACCGCCAGATCTCGGCCTCGATCGTGGCACTGAATCGCTATCTAGCGTAATCTGTGTCCGCTCCCGTGTTTGTTCTACCGTGTCGGTCTGGCTATCTATGGATCTGGTTCGGGTACCGGCGTAAGTGATCTACGCTGAAACTACAAGCGGCAGTGGGATGAGTAGTAGATTATAACTAGTCCCCTATCGCCATGCGTCGTCCATCGCTTTGTCGGTAGCCATCGTCTAGTCCGCGTTGTCTAGCTCTTGGATAGCACACATTGCCTATATCGACAGTTCTTCGTATATTCAGGATAGTAAATCACACAAGCAGAACACCTCCCTAGCCATGACGGCCATCACAAAAACAACACGCGGCCCCGACGGCACACAGTCAACCCTGACATACCGTCTCCCCCCCCAGACAACCCCCTTCGCCCCCTCCCAAAGCCAAGCCATGCCGTCCTCGTGCTCCTTTTCCGTCTACTGTCGCAGCTTGTCGTACTACGTATACTCGATGAACACAGCCGCCCACGACGCGCACCCCCTCGAGGGACAGCACTGCCTCGCGGTGCAGGACCTCACGTCCGAGCGCCGGGTCGGCTACAACGCCGAATGCTGGCCCGAGAACTACTTCGCGCTGTTCGACAACGAGTGGGGCGAACTGAACGGCGCGCCGAGGAGCGGCAACGAAGGGAGCGCTTCGACGGCTGCGTTCCCCGGGGATAAGTGTCTGGCGGGGTGGACGGTGGCGTGTACGACGACGGTTACGGCTGGAGGCGGCGACATAGACGACAGTCACAACAGCAACGGCAACAGGAACGGATCCGAGAATAGGAACCCGGGCAACGAAAGAGTGCGCGAGCTCTACCCCCAAGCATGGTGCTGTCCCCCCGGCCAATGGACCTGCGCCACCGCCACCGCCCAAGGCGACAGACAGGCCCCCCAACGGCTATGCCAGAGCTACCTGACCGGGTCCGCAAGCACCGACATCTGGATGTACTGGGACCCCGAGTTCAACACCCAGATCCCCGACGGCTCGACCTCGAGCCTCTTCGAGGCGTACACCTGGACCGCCGACGTCCCCGGGGAGCCCGACCCGGCACACGCGGCCACCGTGTTCCGCAAGGTGTTTCCGCTGGTGCTGAGTAGCAGCGCCGGCGCCGGCGCAGACACTAGCACTAATACCAATACCGATACCAATAATCCGGGCTTGGGGGCCGAGGCCTCGGAAGAACCAGCAGTAGTAGTTACGGTCACGGAGATCGTCACGCTAGAGCCGACCCCGAGGACAGCAGCGGCGCGGGATCGAAGAACGGAACCGGCGCCGGCAATCGCGGTCGGGGGACCGCTACTGCCGCCCGGGGCCCACATGCTGACGTCGAGGTGTCTGGCAGCGGTCCTTCTGGGGGCTGCGTTCGCGACGGCGGTTATGTCGTTTTTCGGGGTCGTGCTGCTGTATCGCGGGAGGAGGACGAGGACGAGGCGGCGGGAGGAGCCGAGGTATCGCGGGGTTTCTGTGCTCGCTCCTGCTGACGATACTGTTTCCAAGGCGTCTCGAGAGGATGCTGCTGGCAAATGTGAAGTGGGAGTTCTGTTCCAGCCTCGGGAGGTGGAGACCAGTTGAAGACAGGCCACCCGTCTGAATTAGGAGTATAGTGTTAGGTAGGCTTGTGAGGATCTGCTTCGTAGGTATCCTTGAGTCTTGTCAAGAGTAGCTATTATTAGTCCAGGTTGCCTTTTTCTTCAATCTATTAATATAGGATTGTTCTAACCTAGTCGGTGCTCTCGATCTTACAATCTACCTACTTGGTATATACGTTCCATAGATTAGGTAGGTTACCAAGCCTCACAATTCACCAGACTAAAAAAAAAAAAAGGACAGCAAAGTCGTATAAGAAAAATCGAATCTATAAGATTTGTTTTTCACAGCCAATAGGTGCTACCGTGACGACCTATCTATTAAATCTGATGTTGCCGCCCGTACTCCGTATAAAGCGAAATTCGAGATAATTCATAAGTCATGAAACCGCCCTTTTTCGGTTCGCATTGAACCTACTATGCTGCATCGCATATTGTCTGCTAGACGTCTTTTATAATTATATCCCCTGCCATGAAAAAAAAAAAAAAAAGAAATATGCAAAATTTTCAACCCCCCTTTTAGAATTCCCCCCCTCCCTTTTTTTTCTTTCCAGCAATATGCAGATGTCATCAATCATTGGATCTTGGCCATCCTTTTGGACATGCTGTTGACATGTTAGCTTGGGTACTATCGCTTGAGGGCTAGGGGTAACTTACAAATCATAGAATGCAAATTGGCTAGGGCTGCTGCCAAACTCGTACACGAAGCGAGAAGCAAGGTAGCTTCCGAAGATGGCGCGAAGGTACGAGTCAGGTACGCGGCTGATGATGGTGTCTAGGCCGATCTTGTCGATGAGCAACTTAGGCAAAGCATCTGCAAGGACGGACCTTCGAATCTTAGGGTTCTCCCACAGGTCTGACGTCTGAAGCTCTTCGTCTAGAGTCGTAATGGCAACGGAAAGCGTGTCGGAAAGCACGGACCGCGGTACGCCAGTCTGCTCGTGCTCTCGCCAGATCGCCTCGAATTCGAGACGAGCGTTTTCGCAGATCGTGGCTTGTACTTGCTTGACGTACGCCTTGTAGAACTCGGGTGCTTCGCCGTTCGCGTTGTGGCACATATTCTCGACGAATCCCTTGTCGTCAAAGCTAAGCGAGGCGAGGACTTCCAAAGACGACGAGGTCACGCCACCCTTGTTAGCAGACGCATCCTTGAATAGGATGCAACCGGCATTCTCGAGACGCAACTTGGCGTCTTGGGTAATGAACAGATTGGCACCTTCGACGATGTAGGGAATCGCCGTCTTGCCATCCTTGATCAACTTGGAGACTGTAGAAAGGTCGATCGACTCGGGACGGCCACCGCAAGGAACGAAGACGTCTGTCAGACCGGTATCTCTGAGATGGTAGAAGTTTCGGAAGGACGTGCCGTTAGGAACAACTTCGCCAGTCGGCAATGTGACGTTGCTATCGTCACATAGGACCCTGAAGCCATCCTTAGACAGCTTGGAGAGGTCGAACTGCGAGACCATGACGCGCTTCTTGGCCAAGCGTACGAGCTCGTCCTTGTCGATACCGTTGGGATCGACGAGCACGCCGGATCCATCGACGATGGCCGTGTACTTCTCGTTGCTTAGAATGATCTCATTGCTGCCAAGGTCGCCGTCCGGACCTCCGGTCTGCATCTTCCTCACCTGGGAGGGGTCCAGGTTCATCTTTCGGTAGATACCCTTGACGTACTCGCGAACCGACAGCGTTGTCATGCCGTATTCATCGTGGGGGATGCCACCAAGTTTAGGCGACTTGCCAGTGAAGAAGGACTTCCACCACGGCGCACCCCGGGAGCGAGCGTGCTCGGTGGCCCAATCGACGAGGTCTGCAGTGTTCTCATCCGGACCTAGGAAAAGAATCTCTTCTTTACGGTACAGGTCTACGATAGGGTTTTTGATTCCGGGGGTCTCGGCAGGGAGGAGAAGATCCAAGATACTATCAATGTACTTCTCGAACGCCTCCCGAGCACGGTCCTGCTGCTTGGCGTCGAGGAGGACCACGCCCTTCGAACCGCCTTCGGGGATGTCCTTGTTCTTGCGCTGCTGGGTGCTCGCGAGAGCATAGTTCTCGTCAAAGAGGTTCCTAGCATTGATGCTGTAGGCTTCCTTGCTGCGGGACTTGACAATTCGGATACCGCCTCGGGCAACATCCTTAAAACGCAGATGAAAGCCGCGGGCCTCCGCGCTGATCACGAGGAACATGCCGTACAAACGTCGAGGATATTCAATCTCTGGCAAGAAGGATGGGTCGAGACGGAAGCTGAGAGCCACTTTCGTAGGCGTGAAGTAGTTGGTCTTTAAGATGGCATTGTTGAAGATGCGGAAGGCTGTCATCACCATTTCCTCGTGCTCATTAGACACTTCTCGGGTGATCGCCTCCTTAAGCCGGGCATCCGAAAGTACTTCTACGGCCGGTGTCGGCGCGATTATGCTCTTCTCGAAACCAGGACCGACGCTTAGATGTATGCTAGCAAATGCGGCATACAGCAGGCGTACTAAATTAGGGTAGGATGAGATAATTTCAAGGATGTAGTCCGGCGTGAACGTCTCCGTACGCAGACGGCGCTTCAGCTTGGATAGGATCTCAACGTGCGCCGGGTTCCTGGGATCTAAAGCTTGCTTGATGGACACGTACTCCGTGCCAAGGCGGTTGAGGAAGTGCTGAACGAAGACCCAGACGCAGTGGCCATAAACGGTCTCCTGCAAGCTTAGCGCACCAGAAGCGAACAAGGAGTGAAGTTTGTTCTGGGGTATGCAGTACAGAAGGGAGATCTCCTTGGTGATCTGGTGAATCGACTGCTCGATCGGCATGGGTTTGGTATCCAGGTTCGTCGCCGGCTTCAGGTAGATACTCATGACCGTGATGCCGTTGGAGAACTGCTCCACGTACTTCCTGGTGCTTGTGACCCCGTAGTAGTGGTAGAGGTCACTCATGGCGCTGAAAATACCCCTGGCGGTACGAGAACGGAAAGCCATGACGAGACGCTTCTCCTCGGAGCCCTCGATATCAAAGACCTCGATGACGGGTCCGGTCCTGCTAACGGCAAGTTTGATAATGTCATCGTAGATCTGCTTGGTGTTCTTAGTTGCCTTTGTTAGGAACATACGATCGCTGATGACTTCGAGACGCGTCTCATCCGGCTCCGGGTTTGCATCCACAAACTGGCACTGGTATACGAAGTAGCATCGTAGAGAAGCCTTGGATGAAGGATCGTTAGAGATGCTACCATGGGAGCGGAATGTTTCAACCCTGAAGCGCTTGTTGGTGTCGGCATGGTCGAGATACTTCGCCTCGAGCCTGTTTTCGAACCGCGGACCGTGCAACGAGCTCTTACCAGGCTCGCTCGTGTCGATATAGATGGCGTGGTCAGTAGCCTCCATATCCAGACGGATCTCCTCACGCTTGTCCACCCGGGCGTAGGCAGCAACTTTGGCAGCATACATAGATGTGATGTGGGTTGCGATGACATCCACGCTCTCCATCTGGAAGTAAACATCGTCGATGCCTAGCTCGTTGTAGAACCACGAGACTTGCTCGTCAAGATGTGATTCGGGGATCCATTCTTGTTTGAGGATAAGGCTCTTGACTATTACATGTTAGAGAAATTGAGGATATCATAAACGCTTCCGACTGACCTTGCTTTATCTGCTCATCGCGCCCCTTAAACTCGGGCGCGATGTATCCTACAGTAGCGGAGCGTAAAACCCTGTGGCCATTGCCGCCCAGAGTCCCCAGCGGTACTGAGAAGTGGGTGGGTTGAGGCGAAGGGTGTCGAGAAACTTCGTCGGTACCCTGAACCTTGCCCAGCAGCTTGTTAGCCGGGACCGGGCTCGGGTCTGGAGCGACGCCGTTAGTCGTCATGATTTGAGTTTTAGGTTCCAAAACCTCAAACGGCTCAAACGGCTCTGAATACTGGGGAAACCTATCCAGATCTAGGTCAGTCGTCTGAAGCGTCAACATCTTGACCACCATGTTGGAGACAAACAGAGCGGCTTGTGACTCGGGAGGGGAAACAATGAAAGACGAAGGCGCACAGAAGGGTTAGAACCATGGAGAGGAATAGGGTTGGAACAGAACAGCAGGGAGATCGAAGGGGGAAGAGATGATCTCTTATACAGAATAAAATTCGAAGGGTAACGCAGAAGGCGTCATCGCCGTGTATAATGACTATCCTCTTGTCGAGCTCAGGGGACTACCCCAGAGATTGGTATCGAGGTACAACGAGCAAGTAAGTGACAAGATGAGATTACTGTAGTATATCAAAATGGAGGAAACGGGTTCGGTAATTTCCAGGTCCCATATTGCACTTGACAGGGTGGCAAAGCGCCGGCAGGTCAAGTGAAGCCAGTTCAGCACAATATTAGAATATGAAAAATACGAGTGCCGTTATCGTGTCTCGGATTGTACGGACCAGAAATAGCATGGAGTCAACTTCACCGCTCGATGCTTCGGGTAGCGTTGAGTTATGTCGACAGTCACGCCCCTGATAAGGAAACTAATAACACTGGAAACAGGCTGAACAATAAGAGACGTACCGACAAAGCGTTAGAAGGTTGCTCCGGAATTAACTTAACGAACGCACAGGTCCACTATTAAGTCAATAGGAGACTGGTGGGCGTAAAGAGTGAACTGCAAGATCTGCCTCGCGTGTTAGTTAGAGTTGGAGATACAGATGGTCGGTTAGGGAGGCGTGTGTATAAGGGAGGTCTTGTAAGCAGGTCTTGTATATGCAATACTAGAAAAGATACAAAATGTACAAAATGTACAAAAAGACGACAGCAACCTCTGGAGGTGTGGTCGGCTAGATGGCTGATTGGCTAGTTGGCTGCCGGAATAGGTTACAGGAATGAAAGTGGTACCTTAATGAAGACGATCAAGAAACCTCTATGCTTCAAGTTTTCTGAACAGAGTTGGAAATAGCGCGGTAACGAGGTCTAAATCAAAAGTCCTCGTTATACGATATTGCCGTAGATGGTTACACGTCTTCAAACTTTCCGAGAATATAGACTATATTGGGTTAGGCCGAGATGCGTACTGGAGAGAAGGTAAAAGAGATAAACGCACAGCCCTATTGCGGCGCTGATATACGATGACGGTTGGGCGGCAAAGATAATGACGGGGTAGAGATTAAGCTAACACGATAGGGGACTCCGGTAAACCAAATCCGCAAGATAAGGATAATAATAGGATGAACTGACTTTGCAGCTGAGTCGAAGGTGCGATTCAGACTCGATTCGTCGTTTCGTCCATAGCCAAAGCAGATTGATGACGATCGTGAAGTTGAGAAAAGGGGAGCCACCGGCTTCTTATATGCCGTACCGTTAAAAACAAGGAAGCAGAACCGTCAGCAGCTATTACACATACGAAGTAGAGAATCACGTTTTCAGCGGTGGTGCTCGTGGTGTACCCTGTGCACTGTACATACAATACGTCGAGGACTCGTTCCAGCTTCTGCGACGGACATCCTTGTAGTTAGCAAGTTTAGCATCGCAGGGTTTCCTGGGGCATGTATAATACGGTTCTCGAAATCTGAGGGTATCGCTTGGTATTCCAATTCCACTTGGTATTGCATAGACGTGACGGACCAGTAGAAGAAAACCAATCGAAGATTCTTTCATCACGGTGAACGCAAATGGAACGAAACGAAAGCTAATCCTGCAGCTAACTGGAACGGGCGGAACGCTACGCTCCTATTGGCCCAACGGTCTGGGTACCTGAAAATCCGTAAAGCTGGAGTACCGGGTCGCCTAGAGTTGTATGCCGCGGTACTTGGGTCCTGGCGGTGACCCGAGTCACCCGTAGCCAAGGGAATAGCCATGCGGCGAGCATCCAGAACTCGTTGGAATAATAGCTTCAGCATCACATGTCGTCTCAGACCGGGGTTTAGTGGATCGTGATGGATCTACTATGCGATCCAACGGTCTGAGTTTTCTCTCAAACCTGGACGAGCCTGGACGATTATTGACCGTATCAAGTACCGACGGCTATTCAAGGAGGATTTTGACATCGAGACTAGGTACGAGGTACATACCTCTTCGAACAGGTTCTCTAGGGTTGGCCATGGAAGTATCTATCGCCTTGTCGGTACGCGGTATACATCGTGATGTACAACGCGACACAAGTCCCCAACTTTTTTTTTCTCAGCTGTCCGGCGGATAGGATACCCATCCGTCCCAGCAGGTGAGCAAGAGTAAGCTTTTGCAAATTACCTACATGACTGGCAATGTGATCTCCTCCTCCGGATAGGTAGGTACCTAGGTAAGGTATGTAATATGCAAATCATTTGTTTGACCGGAATAGGGTCTCGTTTTTAGATGTTGATCCCGTCTATCAATCACCAGCTCACCTCTCTTTCTCCTTATCTTTCTAGCCCCTAACCCCCTAAGGAGAGTTGCTAGACCGAATCATGTTGGCCATCGTTAAATAAGGGATACCGTCTAGTGTACCTAGGTATGTAGTAGTTCAGGTGCTATGTCCAGGTGCCATTCTGATAACAGATAGCGGCTCGTCGCGCTAGGCTCGCGCATCAATAACTCCAGACCTCATATGGGATATATCTTTACCGCCTCTTACATAAGAGGCCCAATGATAGGCTGTGGCGCAACTGGTATATCTAATGACCCAATGAATGTTGCAATACCTATCGCTATTGCGTTCAGGAATGATGGAACAGCGCAGAGATAGAATTGGCTCTGGATACTTCGGGAAGCTGAAAGGAGAGAAAATTTCGAGATGGCTGATGATCAATTGGAAGCGGACCTTGTCGCAAAATCAGGTACATGTACGCGTAGGTACCTACCTAGGTTAGGTAGGTATCTAGGGTACTTAGCCTGGAGTATACCTGGCAATTACAGGTAGAAATGATGGAATTAGGTACATTCAAGCGAGAGCATGTACCTCTATACATTATATACCTATGTACGGTACTTCGTACGTAAGTTAAAAATGGCAGTAACGCGTACGGGTTCTTAGCACACCTCCATAAGGCATAGCGCTTGTAGCCCCAGCTCTGCACCTCTCGGGTGACTTGGCTAGGTCCACCTGCCCCGCGATTTCGACGGTGTCACCCAGGAACCTCACACGTAAAAATGCTGCGATTCTTATTTTCTATTACCCCCTTATTACTTGATAACAGCGTCTATCGAACCCAACGGAGCAGCACGAGGTCAGCCGATTTGATGCCAGGCAACTCGAAAGGCCTCGTGATAGCTCAACAACTCTCTCTTGGCCTGCCGGTACACACTGACCGTCCCAGGGTTCGACTTCTCATTCCTAAACTTGTCGTGAGGTTAGTGGTCCAGCACCCCGTTCTCCTAGGTTAAGGGGTTTCCTCAGTTTTCATGGCGACATCTCCTCCGAAAACAACGTCATGAGAACCGTCGAGATCTCGAAACGAAAATACCGTCTCCTTTTTTTTGCGGAGACCAAGTGGAACAATTCCTCTCTTTACTCCTATACTAGGTGACACTGCAGGGACAATCATCTGTTACCATCGCCGCGTCCAGGATAGGGAGTTGTGTTCAGCGTTCGTTCGTTCGTTCGTTTTGACTAATGTAAACAACGTTATGCCGGCAGCTTCTGCCGCAATTCCAAGAATGGTAGCTTCGAGACGGAGAGCTCAGGCGTCTTGCCTGCCTTACTGGTCCGTTCCTAGTCATAGTGCTTCGTGGCAACCTTGATAGGTGAGGAAAAGGGGAAGAGAATCTCGAACAAAACAAAATATTACGATACGGTAAGGTTTCCACACACAATATGGGACACGGAGAGAACAGAGAACCAGTTTGGGGGATTGGATTATGCAGCGTTTATCGATCGATGATTACGGTCCGGAACAGGGCTATTTTTAAACTCTCTTCCACGTTTTCGCCCTGTAACAGCTGTACATACATATGTAGCCTCCTATCAACGACTATACGCATATCAAAACTGGAGTTGTACGTACTGCGTACGCACTCTACCCCTGAATCGAAGATAAGCACCGCCACGAGTGTGGATTTGTGAAACGGCCAGCGGTCGACAATACGAGGAAGAACCATTTAGTCCTTATCATCCTTTTCTTTCAGACTTGTTGTTATTCGACCGTTCCATCATCGGTCATCCGTCATCGTAGGTATGATCTCACGGTATGATCCGAGGGTGTGCATATGTATGCATTGTCTTTCGGGTTAGGGGGCTTGGAAGTTAACCCCAACATTTAACTATACCCAGACAGCCACAGAGAGTCGACGCATGTGGTATTCATCAATCCAGGAACGGCCCGTAATGGACATGCAAATAATCGCAGCCTTCGCTTGGAACCGATCTGCCGGTGTTCACCCCAAGTGAAGGGTACGACGCCCTATCCGCCAGCGTTGGATTTGCCGATGGGCGATGGGCGATGAGAAGTAGCCACGCAATGTTCATGTTAATCATGTTAATTGCACAATTAGTTCAGAGGCAACTAGCGGAATTCGCATTATCAATTTATCTATCTAGCCGTAACGTTGTTCGCAATTTTTGTCAGTTTGAAGTGGAAAAGCCAAGCCGCCGTTGCATTGCAGCGTCGATCCAGAAATTGATACCGTCTCCATGCTCCTCCACACTCCTTATGCCTAAGACCAATATATTCCAGCTGTCCAAGAACCTGTCCAAGAACCTGTCCAAGAAAGCTTAACGAAGCTTGTTAACCCAATTTGTGCGACCCGAGCCTGTCTGCCCATGCGGTCTATCTGCGGCGTCTGAACACGTTGCGGATATTTACATTCAGGTAGGTCGGCTCGTTGGATTTTTGTTTCGTAAGTAAGTTGGATCGATTTGTCTTTTTAGACGGGCCATGACTAAACACTTTCTTCGCTTAATCGAAGTTGGTGTCGGGTTAGGTACGCGTTATGTAACAACGTAATTGCTTGCAGTAAGATCGCCCCAATCCCGTCTTTTCTACCCCACCTACCATATTCGGGTCTGGGTTTAAGGTTCAGAGAGGTTGTCACTGCCGCAAAGATTGGAGTCGAATCGCGGGGTTTATCGAGAGAAAAAGCAAAGTCGGACTGACGGGAAGTAACTCACTACCTACTCACCATTCACCATTCACCATTTACCACTTACCATCTTCAACAAACGCAATTGCGGTTATTATTCATCGAATTAGTTCGCGCGTGGACCATATTTTATAATCCCATACAAATAACATTATTACTAGTTAACTATTCCCTTTTCTGACTTAGAATGAACGCCTCATCCGACCAATCGCACTTTTCGAATCTTCGTGCTCAGGCTGAAATCTTAGATGGGGAGGATGGACTCCGTCATTTAAGAGACGAATTTCAAGTCCCCACTAAGGCTGATATTAAACGAACGACACTGGAACAGCCGCAGCAACAGAAGCAACAAGGTGAACTGCCTTTTCCGGTCTGCAGCAACCATGATCCGTCAGCTCGTACTGAACTTCCCTAGATCGTAACGATCCCGCCCCAGCCGATGAGACAATCGCATGCACATACCTCTGCGGCAACTCTCTCGGACTGCAACCCAAAAGAACGGCAACTCGCATCAACCAGTATCTCCAAACCTGGTCCACCCAGGCCGTCCAGGGGCACTTTAAGCCTTTAGACGACTCTCCTCTGCCGACATGGCTCGACGCCGACGCTCGAGCTGCCAAATCGATGGCCTCCATAGTAGGCGCGGATGAATCAGAAGTAGCTGTCATGCAGACGCTGACAGCGAACCTGCACCTGTTGATGTCCGCCTTCTATCGTCCGGATCCAAAGGGGAAGCACAAAATCATCCTGGAAAGCAAGGCCTTCCCAAGCGATCATGTAAGAGATGATCCGCATGACGACAGACGTGCGTTCGCTGAGACGTGATAGTTTGCCGTGCTGAGCCAGATCCGCCATCATGGTCTCTCCCCAAGCACGTCCATGGTGACCATAGAGTCGCCCTACTCGGAGGACGCTCTCATCACCACCTACGACATCCAGTCCATCATCTCGAAACACGCGTCGGACACGGCGTTGATCCTGCTGCCCGGCGTCCAGTATTACACCGGCCAGCTGTTGGATATTCCAACCATCACCGCGTATGCGCACAAGCACAACATCTTCATCATATGGGACCTAGCGCACGCGGTGGGCAACGTTCCCCTTCACTTGCACGACTGGGACGTAGATGCCGCGGCCTGGTGCACGTATAAGTACCTGAACGGCGGTCCGGGTTGCATAGGAGGTATGTTCATCAATTCTCGGAACAGCTTAGTGACCACCACGATCGCCGACGAGGAACCCGAGAGAGGATACGGTAAACGACTGTCCGGTTGGTGGGGAAACGACAAGGCAACCCGCTTCCAGATGGAGACCAAATTCCACCCCGTAAAAGGAGCAGCCGGATTCCAGCTGAGCAACCCCAGCATCCTCGACATCACAAGTCTAAGCGCCTCGCTCGAGGTTTTCGAACTTGCCGGCGGAGTGTCGCCCCTGCGAGAGAAATCTAAGAGGCTCACGGCGTTCCTCGAGCAGTGCCTCTCCCTCTTATCAGAAGATGCCAAACAGCTCTTCAGAATTATCACGCCGTCCGACCCGGACCAGCGCGGTGCCCAGCTAAGCCTGCTGCTGGCAGACAATATCCTAGACCCGGTGATGAAGGAGTTAGAGACGAGCGGCGTCATCATAGACGAGAGGAAGCCAAACGTAGTCCGTGTCGCCCCCGCTCCCTTGTACAACTCGTTCGAGGACTGTGTCGCGTTCGCCGAAGCTTTCGAGTTAGCCCTAGTAGCGACACAGAAAGATCTATGAATTAGCCCCTATCGACGGTAGTGCTTAGATGTTTTCTTCGTTACCAAGCCGAATTGTAACTCGAATACGTTAGGACGATAAAGGTAAATTGTATGTAGGATGAGATTAGAATAGAACGGGAAGCGACATGGATGATATTCCCTTTACATATTCAGTTCGTCAGCCAAGAGCCATAGGACTGTCCCATACCTACCCCTTTTTTATACTGCACTTGACGCGGGCGTCATCTACGTGGATGTATCTTGGACCTTTATTATACTTCATATACGTTTCTAATCTTGGACTCTTCGCAAAGCGTGAAATACGTTTTCCTTCTCTTCTGTTAGACAGTGGCAGCGATTATATTATTGAGTAGGATCTAGGGTAAGTAACGATTGCCTAGCATCCTTATCAACTACCATATACAGTCGCATAATATTTTATGCAATGAAACACATCTGGAAGCTCATTCTATATTCAATGCAACACTAATATTGCGACTAGCTCTGACCAGTACCAGCCCCAACTCCCCCTTGTATCTAGCTATAGCTCAAAACAAATGATAACTAACAAAACCCAAGAAGCAAGACCATGGACCATACTATAACCCTTCGGAGATGAACCCGGGGATGTAGATGAAAACGAGAATATCAGAAAGGGACCCCCGAGGTAAACTCGTGTAATATCTAACATTAAGCTCATCCCATTTCATCAGCTAATGATTCCTTCTCGTCATGGCCCTTGGCGCTACCTCGCCATCGTAAATCCTAAGGTGAGCCAGAAGGAACCGAAGGGAAGCCGGTAGGGAGGCCGGTCAGGACGCCAGTGGGAACACCGCCGTTAGGGAAACCAGTAGGAAGACCGGTTGGGCGGCTTGTAGGGAAGCCACTGGGAAGGCCACTAGGAAGACCGCTAGGAAAGACACTAGGGAATCCGCTCGGCAGCCCGGTAAAACTGCCACCAGCAGGCGGCGTGAAACCGGAAGGAATAGGGTGGTCGCCGTCGATAGCTGAGGGCCAGCCGCCGTTCGAATCTCCCGGCTGAGGTAGATTTGTCGGAACTGAGCTCGGGGTTATGCTGGGCTGCTGCGGAGCAGGCAAGCCGAGGGCGACGGCAACTAAGGCTGCGAGCGGAAGAGTTTTGAAGAGCATTTTGTTGAGATGGTAGTTGACAAAGGTGTTGTATCTGAAAGTTGGGAAGGTAATGATTTGGCGGATCGAAAATTTTATAGACGATGTTAAGTTCCTTGTTCGACGATATAATTTTGTTTGCTACGAAGTGAGAAATCCATTGTGGAAAGACGCTACGTTTATAAGGACAATTTCACATTATCATTTATCCGTCGATCGGTTTGCGCTTCCAAGAGACAGATGTAAGAAGTTTCGCAATCCTGCCACCTCCCCGTCGCTGCGCCAAAGGCGGATTTGAAACCCAGGAGGCTCGTTACGCGTAAAATACGCAAACGACTGAATAATTATCCTGCGACGGGCTGATATGCAGCACATCATATCATCCAATACAGAAATAGACGGAAGAAGCCGACCGCCCTGCCGCGCCGGCTTGTACGACCCCCAATTCGCCAAGGGAGTCCCATATATTAAGGATGCCGTTTGCTCTCGGCCTGTCACATCCGCCGTGGCTTGCTGATGGCGCCCGCTCAGTCGGGACCGTGGGTCCAGATTCGTAATGTGTTGGAGGCTAAGCCACCAGATGCCTTTCATATTCCTAACGCACCCCTCTCGGTACTCGTCATGTAATTTTTTTGTTTTTGATGCGCTTAAAATAAACAACAGTATTTCCTACGCAAGAAAGACGTTTGGCGGCCGCGTGCTGGGGGTGCATGGCTACGCGTAACGAGGCATACGTAAGGAGCTCTTGAAGTGGATTCTTTGCGTCTCGTCGGGCCCGAGGAACCACCGATATATCCTATAGCATTAATATATATTGTTTGCCTGATACATTCGTCCTGAGGATTGTTGTAGAAATCTGGTGTGTCAGGCCGAAAAGTTCGTCATTGTTGATGCTTTGGGAAATATCATTCAAGTCTCTTAGTTGGGACTACGAGTTTATTTGTGCAACAACGGCCTCCTTCGTGTCGAAGCTCAAGTACCTGTCAGATCAATTTATAGCTGAAATTCCTGGGCTTCTAATTTAACAGATAATTGCTAAAATAGTCTTTGTTATTGTGAGGTATGATTCCCCTTCGCTTGGCTTAGGGTCCTGGGTAGCCGAGGACAAAACTATAGAGCCTCCATAAACTCAGTCTTTGTAAAGGGAAAAGACCTAGTTGCACATGAGAGACATCTTTCATAACGTATAATTTCTCTACGGTCTCCTTTTTGAGGATACATACCTAACTTAGAATGTTGGACTATATGAGTTTACAACGAGAGAAACCGACAACAGCATTATTCTAGCTCGAATATTCACACATCATTTTGTTAGCTCAAGTTTTCTGTGAAGTTGATGGGTTGGTAGAGAAACCCGTTCTACATCCTCAGTTTTGGAAGTGATATTGTTTACTAGCCTTACCACGAGTCGGTAAAATTAAGAGTATAATATCCTAGTACACAATATCAAGCTGTTTGCAATACTGGCGGCATTGATTAAAGCGTATAAGTTTTCTTCGACCTTTCCGTAAGTCTGAACACGCCGAAGTATGCCAAGATATGATAAAATGCGGGGTTCGATGGCCGTCTATATATTAAATATTTTCAAGAATGGATGACTCTATGCATGATAATTATGATATGTACACGATATTCTGTGAGAATGTGACATGTAACACCTTTCTAAACGACTTGTCACATAGTTTCTTCTTCCACTTCTGTGGAACTGTGGCGTCGATAACTTCCAATCTACCGGCTCTCCCGCGTCCCGTAAAATTCAGGTTTCGCCTATTCACAAACTTCAAGCTAACTCATGTGGCTTCGTAGCAGCGTCATTCGGTAACTCAGCCCGGGAGTTACCGTCAATCTCTACTTGACCAGGCGCGACTGTTGCCGCATATTTCTCGGTTCTTATTGGGATCGGAGGTTCTTGGTTCAGCATAAAACTCTGCGCAGCTTCTTCGAGTCGGGCTTTTCTTCGGCGGACGAACCATAAACATAAAATAACAAGCGCGAGAAACGCGACTCCTCCAAGCACACCCCCAACTATCGCGCCCACGAGGGCAGAACTGCTCGGGTTGGAATCGGAGTCGGAGTCGGAGCTAGATTGCGAATCTAGCGTAGGTGTTGCCGTCGGTGTTGCTGTCGATGTCGTCGAGCTCGAGGAGAAGCTGGCTATAGACAGAGCGGGTAAGATCAGTTTACCCGTCGTTTCAATAGATTTAACGGTTTACATAGTTGTACCTTGAGAAATCTCGGCAAGCGGCAATGCGCCGTCTGGCAGGCTTATCCCGGATTTAGAACACCCGTCGGTACCGCGATAGTTGTAGCCTATATAGCCCTTTTCGCAGCAGAAGAAGCCTGCGTTGTCAAACATGGCCCACGATCCGTTGGCGCATTTCGGGGTCTCGACAGCTGCCGCCGTGCAGTTTTGGCCGAATGGGCAGCAAGCTACGTTATACTGGCTTGGACATTCCGCCGAGGAAGGGCAGCAGGCGTGAAAGGGATCTCTGGTAACGCCGCAGTCAACTTCCCCAACGCAAGAGCCGTTTCGGCGAATGGCCCAGCCGGAAAACTCGCTGGTGGACATTCTTTAGGTTCGTGTACGAATACTTGGTGGTATTTCCCGGAGGCGTAGAAGGGATCAAAAACAATTCATTTTCACGTCGACGGATGGGCTGATAGGGGGCTTATAGGATTCTTGAGCTACGGGAGTAATGCTGTAACCTACCCTTGTATTACTATAGGGCTGCACGAGAGGTCGGCTCTTTTGTATTTACGAAGTACAAATTGCTAGGATATAGGCCAATCATTTCCCATTTTCATCTTCAGCTCATCGCAAACCGGCAATTAACATCCGAGTTAGCTTAATTGGTGGAGAGCGCGTAGGTCTCCGAAGATATCATGAAGGGGATAGACCCGTTCATGGAGAATGAGAGAGAGATAGAGAGAGAGAGAGACCAAGATAAGTTCATCGTATTGCTAATAGAGTAACGTTGAATGGGCGGAATAGCGAAAGGGTTCGAGATTGAAATCAGATGAAGATCGAACATTGAAGCAGCTGACATTGAAGTTCTAACTAAGTAGAAGTGGAGCTAAGTCGAACGGGGTTAGAGATTGTGGCTATGTGCCCTGCTAAGCCTGCATATGCCAGTTATCTAATCATGCAGCATGCCAAGGTCTGCAAGCCAATCAAATAGCTTAGTTTTAGTGCCGGTTGTTCTTGTGTGACGTAATTCGTCTAAGTTCAGGTTGTCGTGTGGCTTGCCATCAGGTCACCTCTGCCAAAATAAATATAAAAGACTGGAGCATTCCCATTACTGCCTTATGTATTTAAATACTTTATAGAACTCTTCTCGTCTGTACATATCAACTTCTTACTGAACATCATTAAAAACTTAGGTTACCAAGTCATTGATATTACATCCACAGGCGTTATAAACCAGAACCAAAGGTGAGCCAAAACTCCTATTCAACGTATGATGAGCCAAACAACATTCTTACCTGTCAGTTCAACAGCTACCAACACAAACCACCAACAATGCCATTTTTCTATTCTAAGAATTTCGGCGGTCGCCACTTCGGCACCAACGTCACTGCCGGTCGACACGGCGTACATCGAGGACCGTGGCGCTTCAGCTTTGGAAAGTTCAACTGCTTCAGGGCCTAATTATATCCACGGGCAAAGAGATGAAAAGATTGTTATGGGATAAGCTAGGGGTAGAGGAGGGTTAAATCTGGTCCACGACGGTATTGCGTTCAAGTACTAGGATTGGGTTTGAGGAGATAATTTGAAAGATACTGCTTCGACGAAATGATAATAGATTGGCTATAACGTACGGGTGCATGGGACGAGCTACTTCGGAAGGGTTTGAATTATACTTGGCAGAATGGAGTTAGGACTTGCATGTATGGCTTATGAATTCCGGCGGTGGAGACTTGTATGCGCTGTCCTTTGATGTTATTCTTGTTATGATCCTGGATAGAAATATCTATAGAATAGATATTATAGACTTGATATCCTTGTACCTGTTGTTGTATCTGTTGTCGTGGGTTTCATCTCTTTCATTGGAGATCGTCGAGGAGTCTTCAGATCGAAAACTGCATACTCCATTTGACCATGCTTTTGATATAAGAACCATACAAGGAATATTTTCGAGATCTCGATTTTTTTTTTTTGGAAGGGTAAATCTTCACATATAAACTGAGCGCACTGTGGTTAAAGATGAGTTGAGCCTCACATCTCGTAGCCAAGATTCCGGAGATGCGCTAAAGGCTGTTTGATAGGGACTAACTGCGCTAAGACCCCGCAATAAGGTAATCATTTTCCACCGAGGATAAGGAACCGATTAGAAACCTACTCTAAAATTCATAACGCGTAACAAATTAAAAAGCGAATCTGCTCGTGAGTTGCCAAAATAGTTGTTGATAGTGTACCGTCAGACTTGATACCTCTTCAAGATGTGGTAAGCCTAAGAATTTACATATAAGTTTCTAATATGAAGGTTAACTGTCGTACAGCAAGCACGTCTTAAATGCTCAAGTTGCGATCCGCTCGCCATGCTGTATGTTCTTGAGATGCTCCTCTACGCGTACTATTCCTACGAACACCCTCGTGGCCTTATTCATCTACACGCACCCCTTTAGATGACTACTGACGCTCCCTGCCTAGGTAAAAAATGGTTCGACTGCGCAGAGTGCCACCACGAGCAGGAGTCGCATCAGCTGCAGCAGAGCCTAGAGATGACGTTCGCCTGCAAAAAGTGCAAGAAGTGCTTCCGCAAGGACGCCCAGGAGTTCGAAGAGGCCGACGAGTACTGCCCCCACTGCGATAACCACTTCGTCATCGACGCCGTCGTGCCGAAGCCCGCTTTAACGGTCGAAGGCGAGGACGCGCGGATGGACAACCGTATGCTCAAGGACGAGCGGGTAAAAGGAAATCAGAACAGGACTATCTTCGACATTCAGAGCGATGCGGATAAGCTCGGCTGAACAAGGGGACCCAGGTTATAATAGAAAATTACGACGAGCATGATTCTGGGTTGCAGAGCGATGCATTTATATGATACCACACATTTAGACTTCTAGGACAACAGAATGGGACCAGGAGACGGAGGACGATGCATGCTTCTGGGCGGGTAGTGTACAAATAATGACATGCCCTATGATTTATTTTCTAGAGGTCCGTAAAGCTTTGGCTACGTCTCATGTTTAATCACTGCCGCCTTGCTCTCTAGTCAAGATGGCCGCGCTACCGGTTCCTGGCGTCCGGCCTGTCTTCTTCTTGGCAGCTTCTTCCTGCTTCTCTTGTTCGATGTTCTTGACGTAACCCTCGATATCTTCCACCGGTAGCAGCTCTAGAGTCTTTCCGGGGGCCATGATGGCGATCTCGATGTTCTTCGCGCCCGTCTGCACGACTTCTAGCAGCGACTTGATAGCCAGCCGAATGGTTGCCTCGCGATCCATGTCTTCCTTGTAGTTGCGCTCTAAGAATTCTCTGACCGTCTTGCTCGAGCGGCCGATGGCGTTTGCCTTCCTATATAGTGGATTAGCACATGTACTACCCCGCCGCAATCATAGAAGACGAATATGCATACCATGCGGAGTAGATACCGCTCGGCTCGGTCTGGTAAAGTCTGGGTACTTTGCTGTTCTTGTCGAAGCCAACGATCATCGTGCTGATTCCAAAGGGTCGCACACCACCGCTCTGCGTATATCTCTGCTGTACGCCGGCGACGTACTTGGTGATGTACTCGATCGATACGGGATCCTCAACTGTGAGGCGGTGCGATTGCGCTTCTAGTCGCGCCTTGTCTACTAGGATTCGGGCGTCGGCATTCAGACCGGCAAATGCGAGGCAGACGTGGGTGTCGATGAGACCGATCTTGGAAGGAGTAATGCGCGTGTCTTGCAGCTTCATAGCCGACCTCTTCTCGCAACCGAGCACGACGATATCTGCGCCCTTGACGCCGACCGCGCAGGTACCTGGACGGCGTTAGCTTCGAGCGATTGAGCTGCTTAGTAGTCTTCGTACCTCGCTTGACAGCTTCCCCGGCATATTCCACCTGGAAGACATGTCCGTCCGGACTACAGATGCGTAAGAAAGGTATACTTCGCGGTGCTCTAATTTCATACGAACCTGAATACTGTAGGTATATATAGTCAGCTAAGCTGCTTCGTCGTTGGGAACGTTAGTCGGGGAAAAGAAACTTACCGGAAAGAGCTCTGTCGTATCCTGACGCCATAGTGAAATGTGTTAAAAACGAAAAGGTCTAGATGGAGTCTGAAAAGGTAAAGGTGCGTGGGGAGCAGTGGTAAAGCTCGAAGAATGACCTGGGAATTCGACGAGGTTTACGGTTTGCGGTTTGCAGGTTACGAGAGTATCTAAGGTACGCAAGGCTGCCAGAGTTACGAAGCTCCCTGCAGCCAAACGCTACCTAGATGCGGACGCCTGAAGCTCAAGCCACATATAGCTCAATCCATCCACATAGGTACATACATACTTAGAAAGCTTTATGTACCTAAGTACCTACGAGTAGGTAGTATGCACCGCCACATACGACCTCTCCCTCAAGTTAGGTACTCCTGATTACGTGATCAAACTTGTGTTCCTAATTGGCTTAAACACTTTGGTCTTTATTCCCTTTTATATAACACGGAATTGATATTCTTAATACTGAACAGAACGATCTCGTCAACATTAGCTACCAGATGAGAAGGCATAAGGCATTATCTATTGTACAAATCCATATCGGACGGAAATTCATGGCTGTGCCTTAGTCCCCCTCCCGCCTCCGTTACGCCAGGCCCAGAGTTACTTTTGCCAATGTCACCATACCTATCCAAACCGCTTGACATCAACCCATTTGTTCTCTTGTAAACATAAACTTACTTCGCGACCTTTTGCTTCCAATCTACCCCTAAAGCTGGTACACCATAAGCGTTCTAGCTCACCGTCTCCAAGGTGTCCGATTCCATCATAGAACTCGTTCACAACCCAGAGGGGAGCAGCTAAGAGATCTGGCTGCCCCGCGGTTTGGAGGGTGAAGTCTAAACTTCGACACACGTTTTCTGCAAGGATTCTCGTCTGAGAAGGCTGGTATTTCTGGATATCTATCCCTAGAGGTATCTCAGGCAAAATCTCAGGCATCATGTCGAGACCGCCGGGAGATCTCTTGCCCTCAGATTCGACGATGGTATTCAGTACCGTATATATGCATTGGTGAAAGCTGATAAGAACAGCCCAGTAGTAGACGTGAACCAACCCCATCAACGGCGAAGGGAAGTTGAATACTTTAGAGAAGGGCACATGCGCGTCGTAATGCGTCGCGTCTACTGTCCAGTATAGCATAGATCCCGACTCGCTGACCCTCTGGTGCAGCATGCTATACCATATATCAAATTGGCTCTCGATGTTGACGCAGCAGTCCAAAAGCTCCTTTTCCTTTAGGTGGCAAGAAGTGGACACGTCTAGGGATGTTACGTAGCTCGCTTGCGAGAAGACCGACGGTAACAGAACGACTATGTCGAGTAGATCGTCGAACGGCGTTCTAGGGTGTCGTTCCCACGGTACGACGGTCCACTCGGGAGAGCAAAGGAAGGTCGGCTGACGGTTAAGCAAGGCCGCCCAAATCTGCCTCAGGCATCAGTAACCGCATACCCTCGAGCGGCTGTTTACTTACAGCGCTGGGCCTATACACCCGAGCAAAGAAATGGTGCTCTGGGAAAAACTGGTACGCGGCGGGGCCCCGGTCGCGGATCCGGTCGGTAAGGGTAATAGAGTCTTTCCAGAGCGCCTCGCTACTATAAGCGGCCGAGGAGTTTTGCTAGACCTCTAGTTCAGCAAATATGCCGGTTAAAGGAATCCCGACGCACCTCGTATAAGAATACGCAAAGCCCTTCCGTGCTAGTACTGGTCGCCTGCCCATTGCTATTCTTCGGCGGTAGATGGACGAGACAGCGAGACTTCATACTAAAAGGTTCGCGGCCGAACGTCGGGTTTACGTCGAGAGCGCGGAAACCCTTTAGCGACAACCTGACGTCGTCGTCTCCGCGTGGCGACCCGCTTCCCGGCCGAATCGCGGAGTTGAGGTCCGTCTGAAGAGCAACGAATCGAACGCGATGCGACCCGGCAGCCGACGACAACGAAATGGCGTCGATCCACGCGGGCTGCCATGGCTCGGTAGCGATGAAATCCAGCTTATTTGCTTGCTGAACCTCCTTGCTTTTGGCTCTTCTGCCCTGCTGGTTCCGTGGCGGATGAGACGAACATCTCCCTTTGTCGTCCTGAGTGCCGACTATAAATACGGTCTGGTTCGCACCCGACTATCAGTCATTTATCTCTACGATTTCTGAAGCAACTAGGGCGTGCGGACGGAGAGTATACGGAAAGCTGACTTGGGCATCGAATTTTATGGGAGTGTATTCCTCGGTCCGACCAGGAGCCAGAAGTTTAGTTACTAACCTCCCTCTCGTATCCGCCGCATTCGCGACCAAAATCCGTGCATTTCTTGCAAAACGGTCTCCCGTTGTCGCATGCGACTCGTCTAGCTCGGCAGGTATTACAGCCTTTGTACTTGCCAGGAACGCCGACCATGGTGAATATCAATATCTGTAAGACGTGTTAGCGCACTAAACAATATCAGCCTTATTACATCATGCGCGCCCAACATCAGCTTGCCGAAACCTGGGGCGACAAACCTGTCAGATGGATGGATACGACTTTAGATCGTTTGCGATACGTCTAAATTCGCCAAACCTCAGGGGTAGGACTGGGTGTGGGAACCCGTGAGATATAAAGAGTTTTCAGGGCTGGTACGTTGGTCCTGCAAGGATACCAACGCGCAAATTCGAGACGATCAGCCGTACATAAAATCTTGCACGGCGCGGCTTAGCTCTGGTATCTACAAAAAATCTACTCGTCCGGGGCCTCGTGTCTATGTTAGGAAGCAAGCAATTGTCGACGTGAAGAGACAAGTATAGTAACGCCAAGCGGTTTTGACTCTCGAAATATCCATCTGGCTCTTGGTACACAATAGTAAAATGTACCTCTTTGTTTCAACCGTGGGAGCCCTATCAGCATGACGAATTCGCGCGGGAAAATCGAACCGACTCCTGGTAAAGAGCCGATACGATTCGGTTTGCGCAGGATCGTTCGTCCCCTGTATTACTCATTATCCTCCCACCTGCGTGTCACGGTGTGTGATCGTGGTCGACAGGTCTGCTGGGGGCTTCCGTGGGTCTGACATGCAGCCACACGCTGACATAGGAATATCGTACGCCCTCGACGCCCTGTAGGGCTGTGCCGACAGGGGTGTAGAGCCAGAAAAACAGCCACCGATAAAGCTACGATGTACCCAGTACATGAATACACTATGGATGGAAATGAAATGGCGGGCATGAGCAGTGGATGCTCTTCGACTGATTCGAAGCTTGATTCGACAGCGCGAAATGAAGGTTCTGGTGGCGTTCTTGTGCAACGGAGAATTGACTCCAATCCTTGACCATCACATCGTCTACAACATCCCCCCCCAATGGAACAGACCAATCGTCTCGACCTAGCTCACTATCCCTCCCCACTGCTACCACCACCTCTTCGGGATTCGCACAGTTGGTACTCCCAATAGCGCCGCAGATATTTTCTTATTCTGCAACACGCGAGCTGTCATCTCTTCCTCTGGCTAACGAATATAGCGTCATGAGCATGCATCACGTGTTAAGGCTACGGGGATTCAATTTTAATATCCGTTCGAGATCGATAATATCAGCATGCTGACCTGTCAGGTTGAATCTGAAGGTCGGTTCCAAAAATAATTCGAAACGAACACCTAACTTTCTTTAGATACGCACTACACCTGTCGTCCGCTTTGTCCCTCAGGCGTGGAAGTGTGCTTGACTTCGCAGACGTTTACGCTCGACATTACGGACGGGCCTGGTCGGTAAACGGGACGTGGTTCTCCCGAGGCCGCAAGGCTACGTACTTCAACCGACGTTGCCATGATAGGTATTCGAATTCCTCATATGCGCTACTAGCTATCAACTTGGCGTGTCCGGTTACACTGCCTACTGCACGTGGCATCGGCCATAACAACAGCTCGCTCTAACCTGCAGGGAGACGCAGAGGCGACAGGGGAAGCTTCTCCGTTTGGTTGCTTGCGGT